TAAGATTTAGCCACATCTGAAATTTATTGATGGTCGCAAACATTACTACCGGATCAGATAAATAGATATCTTCAGTGTAACTCTTTACTAGCATGTCATCTACATATACCTCCATGTTCTAGTCGATTCAGTACTAGAACATTTTACTAACTATCTTCTGGTATATTGCCCCAACATTTTTAAGCAAGAATGACATGACCTTATAATATATAAGCCATTGTCAGTATAGAATAAGGTGTGTTCTTCATCTTTCTATGTTATTTTTACTAGGTATAAGTGTCTTGCAAGCCAATCACATGAGTGATGACATGTGTGACATGACACGCACTCTTTTTGCTTATTATTATTATAATATTTTCTCACTTTATATTGTTTATTGCATATATATATTGTGATGTTCATGGATCTATGCAATGAGAATCAGATCATGATGATATCACGATAATGAGACCGATTCGCATTAAACACAGACCATAAATAATCTCGATCAAATGCTACTCGAGAGGGATATCAAGATAATTAGACATATTGGTATACTATGTACTCATCCATATGACTGAGGCGATTAGTCTCATAGCTACTCGTGTGGAGACACTAGGGATATAGTATATGTGCTCATTAGAGAATGAGTTTATTGATTGATCCACTTACGGAATGTTGGATGGTTGATGATACCTCATTGGCAAACGTCGATTTCGTTATCCCAGTGGTGTACTTCGTCCTTAGAGATACTAAGGATGTCTTGTATGAGTACTCCACTCTTTGATAGTGAGTTATAGGTTTGAAAGTTTCAAATCTAGTACAACCGATTATCGGGAGTGACAACCAACCTTACGAGAGCTATTAAGTATCAATAGAGGATCATTCACTCTCGTATCATGAGAGAAATATCTCATGTGTTCTTGCTCAGATAAATTATTAGCCAAGGTCATTTGGATTGAGAGAGAAAGAGTTCTTTCAGAGATTCCGATTATAGCAAGACTCGAGGAGAAACTATATGGGTCTGACAGTACCATGCCCGGTATACGATCTTTATGATATGTATATGGTAACTGAGGACAGATATATCCAAAAGATTGGATTCCCTTGTATCGTCTAAGGACTACGGTGTAGTGGCCTAGTAAATCCGTAGTCGATGAGTCGAGTGAATAATAATTCACTGAGCCAGAAGGATGATGGGTATGACTCACGACCAGCTTGATATTGAGTCTAGAGAGTCACACACATATGGTAGATTTTGCAACAAGTGAAGGTTCGGATATGAAATATCCGCCGGAGCTCCTATTTTATTGGATATCCAAATAAGCCCATGAATTATTAGATCATATGGATGAGATTCAATAAGAGCCAATGAGATATCATTGGATAGAGATCCACTAATCTAAGAGGCTTGGGTAGTTGGATGGAGATCCAATACCTAATATGAGAACATCTATAAAGGTTAAGTTGATAATGAGCCTCTATAAATATGAGAGAATCAAAGGATCATAGGCTAGGCTTCTTTGTTGCCACCTCCTATTCTCCTTAGATAGTAGGTGTGGAGATTTGGGCAGCAATTTGAGGAGCATCTTCGTAGCCCCTGCCATGTGGATCCCCATTGGAGAGGAGGACACTTGACCTCCTTCATCCTCTCCTACAGATCTGTAGGATTTCAGGGATATACGATATCCTTAGGTAATACAACTATCTCACATATGGTTTTTAGTTTCGTGGGTCTTTGCACGACGACGAACACCTTTTTGAAAAATTTAAGATTTTATTTTATGTTTTTCCACTACATATGTGATGTTGCCCCTAGATTTTCCTATAATTTTTATTTAACTATATCTGAAGAAAACATCCATGAAGGTTAGCAATTCATGATCGAATATCGAATTAACCAATTAACCAATTGGTTGATTCAAGGAAGAAGAGGAAACTATCTTTCAAACATACATTGTTTAGATCAGCGTAATTATCACACATTCTTCATTTTTAGTTATTTTTCTTGATAATAACCATATTAGCAAGCCATTTTCGATAGTGAATCTCATGGATAAAGTTGACGTACAAGAGTTTATTAACTTTCTCCTCAACTACAACCTATTGATTTAAAGCAAATATATGGGGCTTCTGATAGACTACCTTATGTTCCATGCTGATGTTGAGTTGATGTTGTGTTACATCTATATCGATCCCGGGCATATCATTGGGAGACAATACAAATACTTCTAAATTCAAGTGCAAGAAGTTGATTAGTTCTTTCTTCTTCTCTCAAGTTCATGTAGATAATACTTTAACTATGTGATCTAATTATTTAGGATTCAAAGGGATTTCTTCGAAAGGTTCTTCGGCCACTGGGTGTGAGTTCACCAGCAATGGCTCTTGCTACTTTCTTTGGCAAATTAACTGATGTCAAATAACACGATCTTGATTTCTTAGAGTTGCTCTTTATCTCTACCACTCTTGAGTTGGTCAAGAACTTCGGGATCATATAATAGGTTGACACAATGGACCATATGCAGTTGAGGGTAGTTCGCTTGATGATGGCATTGTAAGTTGATTAAATATCAACCATCAAAAATTTAGTATTCACCATCTTTGAACAACAGTTAGATCCCAAGGTCATATACAAATTTGTGATCCCTATTGGGGTGTTTGAGTCCTCTGTAAACTTAGTGAGGGTGGAGGAAATGGGTTGCAGATCCAGCTGATAGGTCAATTTTTTAAAAAAATAATATAGTAGAGTATGTTCATAGAGCTTCTCGTATCGATCAAGATCCACTTTACGAGTATATTATCATGTTTATCATCTAGGTGCTTAGCCCCCTCTTTTCTTAATATGATAGGATGATCTTTATTGGGATGGACTCTTTTTTATTATGGTTCTATTATAGACATCCAACATAGAAAGTATGAAGCCTAAGGAATCGATTATTTGCTTATATTTTTCGTAAAAGAGGATCGTAATTATGAGTTTACCATTGGTTACTTTTGTTACTTTATTTCTTTATGAATATCCTCCAATTATACTGGTCCATTTTATTAAAGTAGTCTCGGAGGGTGATCGATTAATTAAGCGATCAACCCATATAAAAATTATAGTTTCGATGGAGGAATTAGGTTTTGGGCCAATAGACCAGAGTGCACATTCGGTAATACTTGAGCCTGAACCGAGTAAGAATCGATTGCTAGGCTAAGAACGAGAATTGGTGGTCAAATGGAGGCTAGGATTGACCAAGCAGATGTTGCTAGTGGTGCTTGTTGGGTAAGTTAAGGAAGGTAGAGAGCAACAGTTTATGTTATTATAGTTAAAACATGCATTTGTTGGACTAAGGTATAAAATGTCTCTGCATGAATAATCATGGGTGCAAGAGCTGTGAGAGACAACTAGGTAAAGGTCAAGTCTTGGAAAAGCCATCGAAAAATCTTGGGGTCCGATATGGAGAGAGGATTCAAACCGATCGACAACCCTGATTGTCCTTGGTTTAAGAGTATTAAAATTGAGAGATTTGGCAAGGGATCATTCAAGGCTGTTAGACTCAATTCGTTTGGGTTTGGAGAATTGTGATCCTCAGGATTTATTCGAGATGGACTTACGATATTTTCTTGTGACATATTAGTCGACTCTCTTTCTAACGTCAATCTATTAGAATAAATTTTGATTATCCAAGCTGAAAATTGACTTAGAAATAACTTGGTTCTTCTTTGAGCCAACTTCAAGGTGAAACTCTCCGAGTTGGATATCTGAATCCTAAAAAATTACGTCAAGTATTTACAACAATATTTCTACGATGCTTAAGTAATCTAGCTAGAACCCTTTTTATAGGGGGTGCCGAGGAGGTCGTTACACAGCTTGTACAGTAACAGAAGCCTAAGAACCGATTATAACAGTCCTTTGCTGATGTCGAGGTCACTTAAATGGCTCTCCTATTACAGCTATGTGACTGTGGAGATGAGGTGTTTGACCATAGACCGAGAGTGCTGACATGTCATATTAATGGATCATTGTCACCCTAACACGTAGCATGTTTAGGAGTTACTAAATACCGATGACTATTCACAACTCACTGTTGCTTACAGTCATTTATTCCTTAAAACGTGTGTGTCAACGACCATGAAGAACCCGAGAAAGCTTCATCTGACATTATTGCAGGAGCACACCCAGGGATGGGCTTGACGTATCCGGCTTATTCTTGGATGGACAAAGTCCACCATGGAGTTCTTTCATTGATCATGAGAAAGCTATACGACTCGGGTGTATCGTCATGAAGCCAAGTGTAACCACGGAGGCGTGACGTAGCTGGATTTGGTTGTTTTGGGGGAGGGGGAACCAATCCTTGAGACACGGGACTGGATCTCAGTGGATGTCGCCTTGCGACTGCTGCTTCAATCACAGTTCATAGTTCAAATTATTTTGGTGGTAGTTTCGGATCTGTTGAGGACTCAAAAGTTCTTTTCTTTGCCAAATGGCTTGTTCTTGGCACCAAGATGATGCTGGAACTGGAAACTGCTTGTGGATACTCGTATCAAAGACTCCATGTACCTGAAATAACTTGGAAGTTATTTCCTTGAGGAGTTATCCATGTCCTTGCAATGCTTGAACTCTCGTCACAAGGCGCCACACTACATGAGATCCCTGAGCCTTCAAGCTTCTGCAAGATGGAATCCTTCTTCATATCCCTTATCTTTCATTTGAGCAAGAGTGGGAATGGAAACAAAAAGATGGAGCGGAATGAGCAGGTGCGCTGGTTCTGACTCATATATGGTAGGAGAAACTTGTAATGCCAGTTCTGAATCTTCGCAAGCTTTGCTTTAGCTTGATCGATGCGCCAATGGCGCTGGGCTTCCTCTTGGACTTTGAAGAATGAGATTGCTGGTTTCGATGACAAATAGGGAGCTCTCTCCCTGCAGTCTTGTGTGGAGGTTTGTCAAGTATCTGGACTCATACTAACCTTTGCCTCAATCACCACACAAAATCCCAAACAAAACATATCTCATCGCACAAATGATGAGTAACATGAGATAAAAAGAACAGCAGCAGCAACTGCAACAAAAGAGTTTATAATCGACTGTGTACAACACTACCACACTTGAAATGATTACACGGATCTGATGCTGCACAGAAAAATAGAGTAGAATGAACAGAATCAAGTCAAAAAGAATAATAGCAAAGGAACCGGAATAATCATATTAGTAGCAGCATGCTCGCTCGGCGATGGCTTATCCTCCAACATAGATTTCCATTTCAATCACCTGAAGTTGACTCAGACAAGCAGGAGAAATCCACATATCATCATCATCAGTGGAACTAAAATTGAAGCAGGGGATCGCTGCCCGCTTGAAGGCTTCGCAGAAGGTGATGCAGTTCCCCCGGAAGCAGGGGCCACAGCCTTCGCCGTAGCAGATGGCAAGGGAGGCTCTACAACATCGGAGACATCCAAGGGTGGTATCGGAGCTAGGGCAGGTGGCAATGAGTCTGAGTTCATTAGCGATATCAGCCCACCAGCTAAAACAGGTTGCATATAGTTTGGCATGCTGTTTCCCAAATTTCTACATGAGTTCCCTGCACAATATAGAGCACCATCAAGATTCAGTACTAAATGACATTTAAGGCGTAACAGGCAAGCTGAGCGTGAAATCATCAAGGTTAGGTCAGTGTATATATGATCATCACGTCATGATAAAGAACAAGGGATGAACACGAGCAAAAGGGATACTGGATCCATACTTTTGTAACGACGAGCTGTCTCTGGGAAGTCTGTAATGATCCCATCCACTCTAGCTCCAAGAACATGTGCATTGATCTCGACAGTTGCATCTGAGAAGAAGTCCCATGGTTGGGATACAAACTCATTCTGAAACACATAGACATACACATCAATACCAGCATCATGCAACTTGGAGACCAGACCCGTTTCGCCTGTGGTGAACAGACGAGTTGCAGGATAAATGGATTCTTTGTCAAGGGCCACAGCATTAGCAAACGTTTTGATATCCTCTACTGATGAAGCAACAGCGTCACGGATGTGCTGTTCAATTTTGTAGACAAGCTTGTATTTCGTTAGCTGCTTGAACTTCACCAGAACAGAGCTGTCTGTGGATTGAATCATAACTTCCAAAGCAGTCTTGTTGTAACCCGCATCATTTACGGCAGAAATGACAGAATCCACTACACTAAATCCTAATTGCTCCGCCATAAATGCTGCATTCTGTACCCAAAGAAAGCAACAAATGCTTGATAAGTGCATAGTCAGTCCATGGTTGACATAGACACTAATTCCATCTTAAGTACTATTGTTATCAAGCACTGACAAATAAAAGCTAATAGCATTCTTTGTGGGGAATTGTAGTTATCAAGCCTGAGATCTGCGTTAATCAAGCACTGACAAATAAAAGCTAATAGCATTCTTTGTGGGCAATTAAGATGTTACGTACCTTGCAATGATGTCTTATATATTCAGATATTAGCTGAAACTTTGACAGTATTTATCTATGACTACTGTAATACTCACCTCTACGCTAATCAAGACTCCGGACAGAGGCTTGCCTTTTGCAAACGATAAAAAATCAGATAATCGCATAAAGCTTCCACTATTTTTATATAGTGGGTTCCGCACCAAACCATACAGTGACTCTGGCTGTGAAATTGTTGCTGCAACATGCAAAAGGCAAGTTATTTCATGTTACAGTTCTGGAAGAAACAAAGGAACAATGTTGTGCTTCATCTTACAAAACGAAATTATAGTAATAATTAAAATAAGGAAACAGGAGCCTCAAATGGAAAGATACAGGTAGCCATATGAACCATGCTACAACCAGAGGTACAAGCACAAGGAAAAAGAAAGGAGAAATTCAAAAGGCTGAAAAATCTTGAACATACTTCTAACGAAAAACTATGCATCTCACCTTCGTTAAACTATAATGGCTTTCAGAAATAAGGTTCAAAGTCCTAGCTCCACTAGAATACATCTTTGACGACACAAAAGAGCACATCTCTTACCAATGAGGCTACTTGGATCAAGACAGTAGAAAGTTTAGCCTTATACTAAGTGTTTGGATGGTACAAGCTCATACATTCATTTTTTTTTTCTTCATTATTTTTCCAAGAAGACAATATATAGATTAATCATATATTCAACTTTATTCCCACATACAAGTCCATAAAAATATCTTGGACAAGCTAAATATTGGAAATTGACAGCTAGCACCTCTTTCTTTTCTTTTTGTTGAAAAACTGGTGTAGATCTCAAAGCAATGAGCAGCCAAGCAGATGTTCATGGCATTTTATAATTCAGAAGAAGCAGATAAGATACAACAAATAATGAAAATATAGTCCATCACAATATTCTTTGTTGACTGAACAGATCAGAGAAGATGGATTTACCAACGTTTCTTGCTTTAAAGGTCTCTTGTTCCCCTATTCAAATATCACCTAAGAAATGTTTTTGGAAAGCTTGAGGACAATTGAAATGACAAAAATGGCATAACTTGAGAAACAAACAAACATAAGGATCAGAGCAACAAACCCAAACAACTACAGGGATCTTTTACAGAATATCAAAATGAAGGTTGAGCATTTAAATGAAAATCAATCCTGATTTTGCTGTTTTCTGCAATTCATGAGTATTATATTGTTGCATCTAGCAAACCATTAATAAACTATATAGCTATAATTCTCTGTTACAAAGTTTGAAATATGAGCTTTGGTTTCCATTTCATAGAGAGACATAGATTTGATAAAAGGGTTGTCCACCCCTGATTCAAGGCATTTTAATATCCACTCTATAAAAGATGGCTCTACAGGTGACACACCCTTATCATGGATGTGTATACAATACTAAAAAAGAACTACAGGGGTGCACTGCACATAATTATGAATATATGAATTAGTTGTTTGGTGTAAAAAGCCATCTTAACCCTAAAAGAAAATAGGTCTTGCATAATTCTAGTTCAATCCGGAACTTGCGCTCAATTGGGGGAGGAAACAAAATTCAAGTTAAAGCAGGGTTGTGAATCATGTTGCTCTTGATAAAATTACACATTAATAAAGATGGGAAACATGAAAGCATTTTTTACATACATGAATTCATAATTATTGAATTTACACTCTTGCTTCAAGATGAAAATTTGAATACAAAAAGAATTATCAGAACAATGGAAAATAGATTCTTAATTTCAGTTTCATGCACACTGAAGCTCAAGAATTTAATATTTTTTAAAGAAAATATATTCTTAATTTGGTCCATGGAAAATATACCATAAAATAAGATTTATTTCTGGATGCTCATTCCATTGAATTTAAGTTCTTCTAGATAATATTTTTGACTTCTTGGTGACTGGTGCAACCCTAAACTATAAAAATAACAAAGTAGGCATGTTTCGACAATTCATATAATAAAAACTTGAACATAATTGCTGTAAACTATTGCACCAATTATGAAGCAAAATCTTTTGATATGTTCTTTTTTATAATTGAGCATATTTTTTGAATGCTGAGCAGCAACTGCAGACATGGTCAAAAAATAAAAGCAATTTTGGATTTTGTTTTCTATAATGCATTCAAAGAACACAAAGGCTAAGCCGAAAAACAGTTGCAACTTGCAACTTAGAACAGCATTTGTGTCATCAGGTTTGCTTGATTCTTAAATTTAAGTAACAATGAACTTTAGATACAACACTTGCATAACATGAAAGATGAACAACCAAAATATCAGGTGCATGAAATTCATAACAATTTGTTCAAGCTAATGTGAAGTGAACCTGATGGTGTTATTAAGGCTTTGAAACCGACAGGTCAGTATCATGGAAATTTTTTAGCTGCTATTCTACTTAAAGTTGACTTCTAATCTTGCACTGCCTTTATAGTCTGGATATAACTTCCACTCTCACTTAATCTCTCCTTATAAAATTAACATATACAGAACGAATTACTAGTGACTGCATGTTCTTTTTCCTTGTTTCTTCCCCTTTATCCTTTGGGATATTATGCAGTCCATAAATGTCAGAGAGACATTTTCTTTTCCAAATATTTGATTCGCATCAAGGTCACCTGTAATGCTGGTTTTCCTAAAAAATTTAAGTTATCATATTATTTGAACTCTTAAATTTTAAAGTTACAGTTAATATGCAGATAAAGCAGGAAGAGATATCAACTTACGCTTCAGATTTTTCTGAATTTCATCCAATGTGAGATTGAAGGTGAATATGCCAGGAGTTTTCTTAATTTGAGGTACAACAGAAATTTGGGATCTAAAGGGTGAGTTTGTGACTGTAGTGTCTTCTATAAGGTCGATAGAACTCATGCATATGAGAAATCCATCTCGTGTTACTTGAACAGGACAATCAATAACATCTGCACCATCATCAACTGCTTTCTGATAAGCCAGATCAGTACAGTCCGCATAATCTCCACTGGCTCCATTGTGTGAGATTATTAATGGTTTTCCTGAAGCACAAACGGAAAATAAGAAGATCAAGAAGACCCATTTTAATTGGCAACTGTATCTAAGGCAAATATAGCCCAGAGGTAAGTCAGCATACCATGATCAATGCTGCTTTTGTTTAACTGAGAAAAACAACCTGCAACAAGAAATAACCATGCCAATAAATAGATACAAGAAATTCTCATCTGTAAGTAGTTTGTGTATCTATTTCAGTTGGGAGAAAGCAGCTGATTATCTGTAAGGCAATGCCAAATTGATTATATCCTCAGGTGAAAGGCAAGAGAATTTACCTATTGCCACCGATGGAGTTACAGGAAAGTCCGTCACTACCCCATCAACTGAGAAGAAACCATTATCAATAAAAGAGAGACACTCAGCCAGTGGATCATAGCTATAGTTGTAGCTAAAAAGGTAATCATTTGCAAAATCCGCTGCATAAACCTCCAGCCCAGATTTTTGAGCATCGGTGACAATAGATGTGTAGGGTCGCAGATAATTGTCAGACGTAGTTGGCCAAATGTAATTCTTTGGAACAAGAATTCCTGAAGCAAACGTCTTAATAAATGTGAGATTATTCAACAGCAAACCATATGTTTGGTTCGTAGATGGTTCTGTAGTGTCCTTGCCAAGAAACCGAAAAATGAGCTTTGTCTTCGTGTTCCTAAATCTTGGTGCTATGCCACTAAGGAAAGCCAACTCTGGGGAGGACAGATAGTTCACAATGACACGCTTTGATACAGAAAGTACATAGTTTCTCATGCTCAAATTATGCTGCCTATAGAAAATATCATGCTGCAAAAGGAAGAGTAATGATCAAAGAAGTTAGATGGAGATAACTAATAGGAAATTTTGAGATCAATAAGTATTGAAAGGGCGAACATATGCAACCCATGTTTAAGTAGGTTTACCTGTATATTCAACCAAAGAGCACCAGGTTTAATTTGTGTCTTCACATCATCAACAGAGTATATGGGAGATGCACTGGAGTCAAATGCATTTGTTCGAGAATAAATTGCTTGTGTTACTGCTCAAGATGGAAAGAAAAAAATATATATATTATATATTATGTATATACAAAAGCACATTTATATAAAGGTATACATCTGCAAGTACCTGTATTATCTAATAAGCATGTGTGCATGTTTATCGACACATACAGATTTTTCGGAAAACAGAGTATAACAGTTTAATCAAATAAACTTTTTCTTCTGAATATTGTTTACGAAACCTGAAGGGTGTTTACAAACATGATTTTCATCTTTGCTTATGTTGTTTTTCCATTAAATTCCTCGTGGTGCAAGGATCCATTTCTCTTCCCGTGGCAGTATATAAGATTCCCAACAGAATGAAGGGTCGCTCAAATAGTCTTGTTAAAAGTCTATCTTTCAAGATTGAAAGAAAAAGAAAAGGCAGAGTTTAGTTTCCTATTTATAATGTTATTCTTTCCATCTCCTCTAATATGATGCTTCCTTTTATACTTTACAATCTACTCTTAAACTCCTACCTCCCTCTTAGTTCTTATATAATCTGTCACACAAGTTTCAGATTGTTTGTTTTTATTGACATTAAATTTTAGCTGTTTGGCAATATTTAATGAAGCTCTGCAGCATGTCCTGTTGTCAGAACTTGAAACCCCATTTATACTATTACAAGTATTAATTACTGGTACTGGAATGGAGCCAACCAGGAAAACAGAATGTAATTATTGTTAAGATAAGGCAAGATAGCAATTTTGCAAGCTTTTCATTGCACTGCACAATTGTCAGGATATCAAGTGCTAAAAGCAGCATATTTTTTACTTACCGGTAACCTGTGCTAATTCATTTTTGTCGTAGTCCACGGAGAACCATCCAGATGTAGGCACACCATTAACCATGTAGGATTTCTTCCCTTGAGGATAGGAATATTGGATATCAGTGCAATTGTTTAAAGTTATGTCTGGAAGACAAATCCCAACACCATCTTTTGTCAGTCGCACATCACACCATAAAGTTGTATCACTTGAACTGAATAATGAAACAGATTTATAGGCATTGTAACTGGAATCAGCAAACAATCCTGAAAAGCCTCCTTTAGCTATTATTGCAGGGGCATTGCCTGTAATATCAAAAAGATTTGTAGCTTTCAGCACAATGCAGAGAATTTAAATGTGTAGAGCATGATAGATAGAATTGTAAGTCAATGTCTTCTAATAAAAGAACTGTAGGTTGTATACTTGGAGAAAATAAGCAAGGCTAACAAATTGCAGATAACATAATTCCATCATCAGCCATGAAAGCAAGAAAGCAGATAAAACAAAAAAACTAAAACTAAACCTGATACCATAAGCAGTTTTTTTCAGAATGCACCTTGTCATATAAAAACAATTAACTTCCAAAAGTTAATTTCAAAGGGAATGATGCAGAACAGTCCATGAAAGACATCATACTTATGCATCCATGTTCAGCCCTATGGAGCCTCCTCGAATTCCTAGCCAAGGTTATTTTCTCCAAAATAGTGTGTTGGGTTTCAACTTTCGGCAGGTGCATTTCCTATTTCATAATGTACTCGACCCTCTTTTTTTTTAACCATTGACTCCAGACTGAAGGCAACATCCTCATTATTTTGGTCTTCCAAACTTAATTCCTTAGTATCCATGCATTATCTCATACACTTTTCAATATGATTAAATAATCATGCCAACCATATGCAACCAAATGTTACAAATTAGACAAATCATGCATTAAATATTGGCAGAAATTTATTAGATTCCCATATTAAACTTGCGGAATCATGGAGATCAGGAGGTTGTTGATAATGGTGCATATTATATGAACAATGTCTTCAAATTGCCAAAGCATGCGAATGAAACAGTTTATCTATAAAATGTCTTTTCGTCTGTTCAGACCCCTCCAGAGTCCTAGTAAAGATTGTGCTGAGTTTTCTAAATCTTTCTGAAGTAAATCTTTTGCATACGGGAATAAATTTCAAATGCAGACCTCGTAATTATTCTTTATGGTAAGTGTAATGGGCTTGAATGTATTCACATTTAAAACTGATAACTTCTCCAAACAATCCAGGCACACATCTCCATCACGCTACAAAAAAATCTTAGGCTCACGGCCAACTGTTTAACCAGCTTATATAAAAAATGGTATCAAGAAATTTGGTAGCTGTATAATGCTGTTTCTTTAAAATAGTTCCATGCTGAGTGAAAGTCTCTTCAGATCCAACCTCCCAAACACACAACATATGGACCGATTTCTCATCAAAGCACATGAGCATATATCTTTCTTTACTTTAATATGGAGATCATGCTTGTCCATAATACAACAATGAAAGAACTATTAGCAGCCAAGATGACATAAAGCAGAACACTTACCAGAAGTCAGGTGGTTATCAATTGAAATGCCACAATAATCTACCTCAAGATGTCATAAATATGTCCATAGATCTTAAGGTAATCACATAACCTTCTAAAATCTTGATTAACAACTTGAAAAATGAAAATAACCCAGAATAATTGCCCATTATTAAACAATGTTTTCAAGTCCAAAAACAGCATCAGGCTGTCCACAAGTTTTTAGATCTCCGAAGGAATCCAAATTTTTAGATCTCCCTTAAATTTCTAAAAGAAACCTCGGATTGAACTCGCTACATATATATATAAAAACAGATCACAAGATTCACATGAAATCGATACTTCTGAGAGCAAAACCAAGTAGACATCGTGAACGGAACTCAACAACAACAAAAGATGTAAATCCAAGCTACCAGTAGCTGCCTACAAGAAGAAAAACGAGAGGATCCGCCTTGTTTCAATTAAAAAAGAAAAAGATGAATACGTTTCAAGAAAGACATTGAAGCAAAAACAGAGCTTTATTTTTCTTTTTCTAGGAAAGGATATTTGACATGGATGGCAACAAAAATCCTCCCTGAAATCTGCCCACTGGAATCAAGTACACCGAGGAACTCAAGAAACCAGATCACAAAAATCCCACCTTTTTAGCATAGAACAACCAAGAAAGAAAGAGGAGTAAAGATCACCACTCGAGAGAACCTCATCACAAAAAACCCTCCTTTCTTTACCAAGAACCAAGAAGAAAGAAAGAGGAAGATAGAGTACCACTCAAGGTCAGCCATTTTTGAGCGGTGGTGAGGCCCAACTGCAACAAGAGGCAGGCCACGAAGAAGGAGGAGATGCCCCCTCCAGAGCTGCTCCTCCCCATTGCCCTCAGCAAGAAAAAATCTAACTCCAGATCGCACCCACGCGCCCCCGACGGAGCCTGAGGAGATCGAGCTCAAGCTGTCCTCTGCTCCGCAACACAAGAACCAAGAACTGGAACAACGCGCAAGGTGGAAGGAGGAACCAGAGACCGAGCAGCGGCAGCCTATGCCCGCAGAGCGAGTTTTGTAATGTATATCATTGTAGGCTAAGAGAATCTCGGTTCTCGAAGAAAGTTTCAACCTTTTCCCTATTTTCTAACTTGTATATATTAGCTAATCTCCATTTCTTGACCACAGTCGAAACCTTTTTCTTCCTTTATTATATATATCGACCCATAAATCTTTTGACGGTGAGTTTACGGCTCCTTGTTGAGCTCTTGAGCGGCTTCTGCGGCGGCTGAAACCATCTCATTGTTGGTATAGGGTTGTGGTAAAGATTTATACTGTTGATGATGCTTCCGCAAACAGGGCCAAGTCTAATGAAGTCCTCTGATGAGAGGAGAGAGATGCAGGTTTTATGCCCGCCTGTTCTTTTTCTGTGGGAAGCCTGTCGCTTCCGAGCAAGATTTGAAACAGTGCAAGTGTGTATTTGGCACTGCATTCAGCTACTTGTCTCATAAATTTACTTCAACGTATAATTGCTGTACGATCAGCTACTGTTCTCGGTTGAATTAGACTAATTTGAGGTCAACTACTGTTCGATAAAAGAGGCAGCAATCAACCTGCACAATCTATGGAGTATATCTAAACTCCGTTGCTTTGGAAATTCACCTTTATTTGAGCCAGCCACTTCGTTTGCAGCACTGATTTCTACAGAAACTTCATGTAGTTGATCTATTCCTGTCCGGAGAGTGTTGTTGATTGAATCCATGCATCTTCCTTGACCAGAACTTGTTTCTCTAGATTTGTCACGAGCAGTAGAACTCGTGCATCCCATAATTAAGGATTGCAAAAAAGGAGGTGTCTCGCCCTCAAAAGAACAGTAACCATCAACCACTTTTTTTAGCTACGGGGTGGATTGTCACTGCTTTTTATGGCCGTTGACTCAGGAAAAGAAGATACTGATCAATGATGATATCAGATCTGTCTTCTTAAGTTAATTAAACACCCCCAATTATATAATAAATGCCAACCAACGACTCCCAGGTGGATAATAATAATATTATTATTATTATAAATATCAAGAACTTGTTTGTTTTGTTAATCAAATACGAGTGAGTCGATTTTGAGATTAAAGAATTATTCTATTTTCCTAATTATGAATAGGGGGGCAGCGCAGGCAAGGCTGTAACGCATCCAAGGTTACGCGGTGATCCTATGGATCACCATGCGCTCGATACGATGGCAAAGAGGTCCCCAACATGGGTCGGTCCCATGGAAAGCCATCTCAGGATCACGAAAAAGCCTTCCCCAACCGTTCACCGCGTCATCCATCGCCTTCGCTCCCTCATGGACAGTGGGCCCCACGCGGTGCCGGTCCCATCATGGCGTCGGGTGTCCCACGCGGCACGTGGGTAGGTATATAAAGGCGGGGTCGAAGGTAAGGTCACGGATCGGTGACGCTAATGAATACTCGGCGAGCCGAGCCGTGTTGCGGGATCGGCGTGGGACCGTAACCTCTGCGCCAGTCACGAGGGAGGGGACGAGTACTGAAATGTCTTATATACCCCTTCCGTCACGGTTGGGGTGAACGGTACACGTGTCGGGACGCGAGTGGAGGGAGGGAGCCTCCGAGCGAAACGCTGACGGCGACGGAGCACTAAATGCCAAATTTGCCCCACAGACATCTCTGACGCTTCGCTCTCTCTTTCTCGCGGGGGCAATCACATGCCACCATGCCGCTCACTGGTGTGCGTACGCGAGCGCAACACTCTCTCTCGATAATGGCAGTCTTCAAATGGGAACTCACAATAATAGCACGGTGTTGTGGTGTACATGGATCGCATGGGTTGTTCTCCGGACAGATGGGACCCACGGAAACTGGTTGCCCAGTGGTGACATTAATTTCCTCAGTTAATCCTTGGTGGATGCACATGGCGTGTCAACAGATACATCCAAGCATCGGCATGATGGACGGGCCATCGGGAACCTTCTTCAGCTGTACCAGCTATATGGCACTGAGACCTCTCTTTCTTCTACGCAACTACGCTGCTACGTAGTTTTCTTCCCTTTTCTTTTAATTCCTCTGAACGAGCAAGTAGTGCAGGAGGAACCCTTCGTGAAGTTGCTCATCCGCGTGAGAGTCCGATGGTATCTTAGAGATCAACATCAGTCCGCTTGCGCCCAGCTGTGCGGCACTGGAACATATGATGAGGCATTAGATAGATTCCAGGAGGATGGAAGGAGACCATGGAGTTTCCAATGTCGCTCAAAACCATAACCTTTTGGGGTCTGACATGACTCAAGTGCGTGACCAACGCCACGGTCTTCCGTATCCCATTAGGAAGGAGTGGTCCCCACTGCATAATAACAATGTTCACCATATCCAAAGTTGCACCTACCGGTGTACCGAGGGGGTGTGAGAAGGGATGAAGCCGAAAGCTACCATTCCCACATGGAAAACCACACAGCGAAAGCAACGATATATTTATGTGTGTGTTGTGTGTGTGTGTGTGAGAAAGGAAGAAGACGGTGGGTGGGTGGGTGGGTGGCGTCACATGGAGCAGCCTCCTTCTGTCGTTCAAGTGGGCAGCTCCGTGTGGGTCCCAACTCGGAAGGCTTAGCTGGCCTCCTGTCCTCGCGATGCCGGTTGGCGTGGGAAGAAGCTGGCGCTCGACGAAATGGTGGCGAGGTTACGGGCAACCATTCTTCGAGCTTGTTTCACACCATGTGTCTGCGTGTCATGGTACAAGCATTCTGTCGAACACCTTGCATGCCACAGAAACAAAATGGGAGAAGAGAAATGGCAACATGACATTGAAACATCCCCATAAAAGATAATGTGGATGCACATCAAAGAGGGTGCTCTGTATCGAGAATAAATACCATCTCACGAGGCACCATCTACGTGTCAGTAGTCGGTCTTCTATCTATCCATTGATCTTTCAGAAACATAAAAAAAGGAGTAATAGATATATACTTAAAATATATCTTTTACGGATAAGAAAGATATGACGGACTTACGAACACTTTATTTTCATACTCTTAATCAATATTGGACGTGATAACAAAAGTTCTCCGACGGAACGGACATGTGCAGTTCCTAACCAAATGAACTTTCATTTTGTCTTACAAGAGAAGATCTCGGTGGTGATAATTGAAGAAATCTCTTTATTTTGTTTATTCTGTTGAGGAAAATCCTTCCTCCTAATCAGTATAAATAGAAGAGGGAACATGTTAATATATTTAAGCTAAAGCTATTTCATTTCTACAATAAAGCTTCTTCAATTATTGTTTTTATCTTCTATTATTTCTATCAATAATTTCTCATTAATTTGGACATTAATCTCACCTCATTAAATTAATCATAGAGAGGTTGCACATACAGTTAGTTCTGTCTCTCTCAAAGGACAGTAATCTCACCTCACATCTTCTTCGGCTCTCTCTCAAAGGAGGAGCGGACCACACGAGCTACGAAGAAGCATTTGGGAAAATGTCCACAGACATCCCATGTACATCATTGCACCAATTTTGTACTTGTTGTTGATGTGATGCATCACAGGCAGATAAGTCCGTAAACTTGTGTGTCAAAACTGAAATGTCAAAGGACCTACGATATTAAGGGGTCCCATAGTGTCATATCAAAGATTTAATATGGTTTAGTGAAGCTAACATTCATATCAAGAAAATAGAGTGAATCAAATCTTAAAACTATGTTTCTTTAATCAAGACATCAACTAACTCATGTACAGTATCAAGTATAGTCATGCATTAATAATCATACACACGAGTACCTTATTTGTTTATGAAAAATTTTAATAATTATTTATATTTCTAATCGTGACTATTTATGGATTCTCTCGTAAAGATATATATAGAGTCACATTTCAAAAAAATATTATTTCAAATCTATTTTAGAGTTATGCTGTTCCGATGCCTCTACGTAGAAACATTAATCATTAAAAAGATAAAATTAAAAATAAATTATATGTATATAAACTATTATTCTCGTGCAATCAATCAACTTATTATTATTATATTGAATCTCCAATCATAAAGTTTAGATTTTTATCATTGAAATACTCATAAGATTTATCTCCTTTGTCATCTAACATAAAATATAAAAATAATAGAATGAGAATTTAATCATCTAATATGTTTTTGTCTATTTTTCATGTGTTACTAATTTTAGTATTTATAAGTTTATTTTAAAAACAAAAAGAGTAAGGTTTGAGACCATACAAACAACAAAAATTAAATTCATAAACCATTCTCTTTAATACTTGTGGTGTCAAGTGCTACAAGCTCAACTTATTTTTAGATAATAATATTTTGTTTCATTGATTACTAAAATATAGCACTTTCACTAAGAAGAAATACATATTTAGATGTAGATTTAATATATAAATAATCAAAAAAAATTAGTTGGCATCATTATAACTTTTAAGAATAGTAAAATATCATACAAAGCTAAGTTCATAAGAAAAAATACCAAGATATCAAAAACTCATTCAAGAGCATTTTAATGAACCAAACTTAATTACTAGTATACCTACTAAATCTGAATATAGCATAAAAAATATTAAGTATAATCATATTTGATAAATAGAGAAGAGATCTAATTATTTGAAAGTATTTTTTAATTTATAAAATTATCACTATTTTTAACAAAATAAACTTTTTGATCATAAGGAGTGAAGATAGATGAATAATCATGATATTTATTTTTTTAATATAATGAGATTGAGATAATGATATAGGATTAGAAGATTTTTGAATTTTTATTCTTAAGATAATGATGTCAGCTTTACTAAGATATTTCATATCAAAGTGGTGAGATAAAAATGATTTAATCTCTAAGATCATATTTAGGCAAGAATTAAGATGTCACTAACGTAAAGATGAAGAAGTATAAATTTATTTTTAATAGTTATGAGATTCATTGATTTCAAATCTAAAAGATAAAATCACATAAATAAATTTTTTGTGTCACTGCTTAGGTGCTTGCTTAAGTCCGTACAGGGATTAGATCAGCTTACACACTTTTCTTCTTGTTGAAGAACAACAAATCTTTTGAGTTGATTTATGTATATCTTTTTTTCTAGCTCTCCCCAATAAAAAAAGTCTTCACATTCATTTGATAAACAAAAAGTTTATAGATCGAAGTAAAAGCAAATATGACATAGTAGCAATTCTCATTATAGGTGCACAAGTGTTTAGCCCCGCTATAGGTAACTTAGTAAGAATCCCAAGTGTTAGTATTAATTTTGAATTCTCTTTTATTGTTAATCGCCTCTTTCTAAAAAAATTATAAAGCTCATAGCTTTTTGAAATAAACTTGATATATTTTCTATTATATAAGAGATAAAATCATCATTAAAGTTATTTTCAATCCTACTTCTAATATTTCTTCGTTAGATGTTAGATTTTATAAGAGTTGAAAAAGATAAAGATCAATCACTTAAAAGGAGTATATTTTCAAAAAAATGATGTATCTCCATATTCAATCAATGTCATTTAAGATTTCAAGTATTTTAAAATTTACTATAATAAATTTATAAGTATTGCGAGTATTTTACAAAGATAACATACACTGTTTTGAGATTTATCTTCTTTTTCTTAGGTTTTGAGATATTGACCTTAACTAAATAACCTCATATTTATAAATAACTTAATATTGGTTTATAATCCTTTTAAAGTTTATAAAGAGTTATCTTTTTATTCTTTTATGATATCTTATTAAGTATATAATAGACTAATAAAATAGTCTCTTCTCATAAGTTCTGAGGTATTCTTGAACTAAAGATCAAGGTATTAATCATATTTAAAAGGATTTTATCTTTTTTTGTAGTTACATCATTAAATTAAGATGACTAGGGAGTAGTAACTTCATGAATTATGTCATGATCTTTATGAAATTTGATAAATTTATTAGAAGTGTACTCATCTCCTCTATTGTTTTAATTTTACTGTAAAGACAGTTTTCAACTTCATTCAGATCTTAAATCAGTTAAAAACTTCATCTTTAGTTCTTAAAAGATAAGTATAGTATAATTCGGAGAAATCTTCAATAAAGGTCACAAAGTAATAACTTCTACGTCTAGCTTATACCGAATCATAAATATCACTATAGATTAATTCAAGTTTTTGAGTATCTCTAAATTAAATAGGTTTAAAGGGTTTTCTAAGTTATTTAGATTAAACACAAATCTCACATTTAGATTCAAATTTAGAGTTAAATTTTAGAATTAAATTAAGATAAGACATTAAATTGATCTCAACTAAGTCTCCCATGCCAAATATCATGAGATTCAAATTTAAGACAATAGAGAATGATAATTCATATTTGTTGATTAAAGGAGTGATTACATTAAGCTTAAAAAGTCTTTCAGATATAAAATATTTTTCTACAAACATATCTCCCTTCGAGATTACAATTTTTTTTTGCTTTCAAAACTATTCTATATCCTAACTATACAAAGAGAGATCTACTGATTAGATTTTATCTAATATCTAATAGATTTATTACCTTTTGAAGTATAAGTGTCTTTCCTTAAAATAAGCTTGAGGGTATTACATCCGGTTCCTAACACATTCGCAGATGCATCATTCCCCATAGTTACATATCCTCCATTTAAAATCTAGTAAGAGAAAAATCATTCTTGATTAGTACAAATATAAATATTTGCACCTGAATCTAGTCACTATTTAGAATCATGATATGTTAGATTCACAATTAGGATAAAAAAATATATCTGAAAGAGAAATTTGATGGTTTAGCCTCGATCACATTTACTTAAGTTTTAGGCTTAAGAGAGTCATTATTTGTGAAAGAGAAATTTGAAAATCATCTTTTTCTTCTTTCGGTAGAAGTATGATGGAGTAAGAAGATTGTCTCAATTGTAAATGTAGAAGAAGTTATGTTTTCTTGGCTTCTTATTCCCCTTGAGTTTGAAGGAATACCTAGGGTTTTGAAATTAGTTGGATTTAGGGTTAGGATTAGAATTTAGATTAGGATTTGAAAACCTTAGTTTAAATTAAAAAACAATGAAGCAATGGATACATTTGGAATATCTAAAAGATGTATCTTTTGAAGTTTATCAAATTTTCTTAGTGATTTCATATTTTCTATAATTTTCATAAATTTATTAGATTGTTAAAAATTTATGAATTTCATGGATTTAGAAGGAGGAGTAATTTCCAAATCAAGCCTATAGTTAATTGTTCAAGCCACTTGACAAGCTTAATCTCATTAAATTTCTTAAGTCTACATGGAATCGTTTAAGGTCATTCTTAGATTTAGGATGAAACCTAAAAAAAAAAAAAATAGATTTGTAATATTTATAAAATAAAATTTGAAAATCCTTATGGTTACAATTCTTGATTTAATGGAGTAAACAGTAAGTTGAATAGATTTTTTGTTTCATTCTTTAAAATATTTATTCGCAAAGAGATCTCACAGACAATTTTGATAATAATCTAACATAAAATAAATGTAAATGTAATCATATCACAAATAACAAATATTATTTATCGAATTATATAGAATAAAAATTAAATTATAATTTAATATAATTTCGTGCCTTTTTTTTCTCTCATAATTTTAATAGTCACAACAGCACGTAATTGCCATGTGTCATACATACCTAAACCTACACCCAAATCTCACTAATCAACACCTGACAAATACATGCAAATGGCCAATCTTACTTCTTAATCTTTCGGCAACACTTCATCGACGAGAGTAAAGAAGTCTTTCCACAACCGGAAATTTGAGTTTCAACTTTATTTTGCATATTGAGCTTAATAGTTAGTTCGGGTGATTGGGGCTTACGATTACAATGGCGATGTGGTCCTCGTTGATCCATATGTTCTTTTATCAGAAAGCACTCCATGACGATGCAAAGGCAGAGCATGACGATGAAGATGGAGATGGAGATGACGCGTGTTAGTGTCAATATGGTTGGGTTCGGATCCGAATGATTGAAGATCTTCCTGAACGACGCTTAGGACTGCTGAGGTAGCCGACCGCGGTGGTCCGATCTCGACGGGATCACTGTTTTCTCCGTGAGGGGACCCCCCGCCTGGGCGTTCGGTGGGAGGCACTCCGTCTTCGTACCGACATACAGGTCGGGTCGGGAGAGCTCGACTCGACCCATCCGATGATCAAGTCAGTCGACTACCTCAGGGGTTTTCTTTTCTTCCCTCCCCTTCATTGTTCCGAACACGAGGGTTTTTATAGGGAATGTCAACGTTTCCTGATGTGCATGCTTGCAGGGAGTAGGATTGTACCTTGGATGATGCCTGACACCGATATTGGCATGTCAAGTCAGATCGAGACAGACGACCCCCGTAGCTCCTCGGTATGCGTAACTCAGGAGACGTCACCCGGGAGCTGACGTTAGTTCGTGTCCCGTCATTATTATTATTACCCTCGTCAACGCGGCTGCCAGAATCATCGACGAGGGCACCCAATACGAAGAGGAGATCGAATGGTATTGAGGCGGGTCAATATCTACATCGAGCTCAGCTGTCGTATTGATTCAAAATGCAGTCAAAACTTTGCAAGCTGTCATGCGTTAGCTTCCGGACTATAAAATCAAGTCGTTTTCGAAATATATTTCATTTTCCATCTGTTTGTTTTCTGTGGGTAGATGGGAAGCTTGGTGGTCAATCGCGGCAGTGGTGGAACGTCTCTCTGCTTGAGAAATAAGCAATAATGGCTTTTGCTGCGACAGAGTCCACTGATACGCCGACCGCTCGAATCTATTAAACCATGGCCGGCGGCGATATCCAATTTGTGATTCGGGATACTCCATTCTATTGCAATGAATATTTAGTATCTCTGGAAACTATGGCCGCTACGCAGCAGAAGCAAGAAAGATCATAGAAAACAGGGTGCCCTGTGAAACAGGAACAAGAAATAGTGATCGTGCCGTCACTGGTCATCTGTCAAAGTCCATGTTGTGCGTGGTGTCCTCTCTCGAATCATGTTAGAAGCCGCTGCTGCTTCTCCTCAAAGTATTGTATCGGTGTTTACGGACATCTCGGGCTATGTGATACATCCAGATCGAGGTTAGCTTATCTTTTACTGGAGCACTTGAGAGTCTCATCAGATTCAAACCAAGATGTTGGTGCTGCTCAGGAAAAGTAATCTACGGAAGCAAAAGGTCGAAGAAGAGTGTTGCAAACATGCATGCATGCAGGTGCAGGGGAGGCGAACCGTTCCAAGGCAAAGCTCTGTCAAAGTATATGGCATTTTGGTGGATGTAAAGCCAACTTTCTTATAATTATCACTAAAAAATGAAGGCTAATTTCCTTACGGAAACAACAAGAACTCAGTTGTATTTGTTCCCTTTTAAGCGACTGTCACTGTTACATGCATGAATCAACGATTTATTGGATCATCCGAAGACATAATTCCGGATGATAGAAACAAAAAAAGGACACCGACACTGCAAGACTTGGTTTCAAACTCTCAAGTATGAGGAGGTTGGTAGGGGATTGATTCATGCCACAAGCTTTGCCGTCTCCCTCTCCACCGCCCGCTTGAGGAAGCTGCCTTCCTCCACCACCATCTGCACCGGCAGGAACCCCAGCCCGCTCGCCACCGCCATCAGCACCTCCCTCATCTCAGCCCGGAACTCCTCCAACTCCACCGTCCCATTGCCGTCGCGATCGAACCGACCGAAGAGGCCGAGGTGGAGTTGCAGGAGCTCGTCGCGGCTCGGCCCCGTTTCGTCCACGCCGAAATGGGTCTCCCGCACCCGCAGGCTCATCAGCTCCTTCGCCATCTCTGCGTACGTGAGCCGGCCGTCGTGGTCCATGTCGAGGCTCGCGAACCGTTCCTCCACCGACCCGTTGAAGGCGCCTTCGTCCTCCACGAACTCGCGAATGGTCGACCCGTCCAACATTTCCACGCTCATCTTCGCTTTACCTAAGCAAACACGCACTTAGCGGTCGAAGAAGCACTCGAGAGTACGAGAGGAAGAACTCGGAATGCTTTGGAGAATGAGTGGGAGCTGCTGTGGGTTATATACACGAGCAGAGGCGGAGACTCTCCACACGATCGAACTGTGACTCCATGGTTACTGTGGGCCGCGAGCGTGTTGTTTTCGACCATCGCAGCTGCAGTCAAAGCACTACGACGTCAAACGGTCAGACACCATGCGTTGTTCGCTTCCTGCAACTTCGACCCCCCCGCCCCGTGTTGACTTCGTTGACCTTCCAGTTGACGCGGGGAAGACGAGAAGGCCTCGAGCCCATTGGTAGCCCAACAAAGGCTTTCCAGGTGAAGATGTGAGCTCTGCTACAGCGGAATCATCCACCTTAAGAATATGCATGCCAGGCTTGCAGCATCTGGGAATCTGGAGGCCCCAACACACCACCTTATCTGCCAACCCCGTCGACGAACAGTGTTGTTAGGTTCGAGAAACTTGATGTCCTACATAACATGAAAAGGATGAATACAGAAGCAGGAGGTTGGGAGGCAAGCGGCAGCATGGTGGATTTATGACAATAAGATAGCAATCAGTATCAGCGCCTGTCTGACAACATCTTTGGTGCTCCACAATCCGATCCCATAATGATGTCCGATTTCTATTGGCAATCACTGAAAAGAGAAAAAGAATAATAGAATCAGAGCCATGCTTCCATCCCCCGACCCAAATGCCAGTCCAAAGAATGGGTCAGAGAGCTGGTATTCTCTCTTTAATCTTTAGTCTTCTTCTGGGAAGTGACTCTCACGTTCTCTCCAATACTGCTCTCGATAAATCCATGTTGTTTCATCATGTTCCTCTTGTCTCTTCTTGGGTTCCGAGCTATCACAACGGAAGCAGGAAGCTGAATCCCCTGCATTTCTTCATCACGGCTATTTGTTCTTAGATTTCATCATTTCCTTTGGCGGCATCATCTCTCTGTTTAGCCGGATTCACCTGCTAACCTTGGTATCTTAGTCTGCACATCATCGCAAGGTACCTTCCAAGTTGCCACCTTTTCGTGTTTATTGCCGTTATCCTCTCTCTTTCTCTGGTCCTATTTCTTTTTGGTTTCTGATGAGACTGCTGTGCTTCTGACCGTTAGTAGGTGGCTGGGATTCTTTTCCCCTGCTTTCTGCTTCCTGGCTGACATGTCTTTTGCCACCGGAGCTCTCTCCTGCTCGAAGAACATGGGTTTGGAGCACAAGATGGGGAATGCTGAGAAAAATGGGATCTTGATGGCTAGGGAAGGTGAAACGGAGGAGAACAGCGAGCGTAAGCATGCTGGTAAGGAGGAGGAGATCAACAGGCAGATGAGCGAGACCTCCCTTTATGCTACCGAGGAGGAAGAGGAAGATGATGATGGGAAGGATGGCAACGGGATTGATCTGGGACCTCAAGTCAGCCTCAAAGACCAGATGGAGAAAGACAAGGTCTGACTTAAACCGCCTCCTCTTAGAACTTCCAAATCCCATGTTTTCCTTTCAGTTTCATGGCGTCTGGTGCAGGATGATGAGAGCCTGAGAAGGTGGAAGGAACAGCTTCTGGGAAGCGTCGATGTGAACTGTGTCGGAGGTACATACATAAAAGCCTAATTTTGTTCGTCAAAGTAGCACTCTCCATCTCATCGTTCACTTCTCCTTCTCGTAGAAACCTTGGAGCCCGAGGTTAACATTCTGAACCTTTCGATCATCTCTCCCGGAAGGCCTGACGTTGTCCTCCCACTTCCTGTGGCTCCGAACTCCAAGGGCGTGTGGTTTACCTTGAAGGAAGGTAGCCATTACAGGTTGAAGTTTACCTTCTCCGTCAGCAACAACATCGTCTCTGGTCTCAGATACACTAACACGGTGTGGAAGACCGGCGTCAAAGGTTAGCTTTCTACTCCCAAGTCCGCCAGCTTCGAGTTCTGGAAATCCATTCCTCTGCTGCATGATGCTGACAAAGTCGATTTCCATTTTAGTGGACCGAACAAAAGAGATGCTGGGCACCTTCGGTCCTCGGCTTGAATCATACACATACGAGACACCAGAGGAGACCACTCCCTCGGGTATATTTGCAAGAGGATCATATGCTGCAAGGACCAAGGTAAAATTTCAATGCCAAGAGGCTCCCAAAACTATTGGAATCAAGTTCATGTTCTCTGTTGTGTTCTGCAGGAACGAACTCAGCACATTGATGTGGCTATATCCTCCATTTATTTGCTGATGCGATTGTTTTCTTGTATCAGTTCATCGATGATGATGGAAAGTGCTACCTGGAGATGAACTACTCCTTCGACATCCGTAGGGAATGGCAACCGATTAGCTGAATATAAGATCAGTCCCATAGAGAAAAGTCTGATGCTTTTTGAGGCGACAAGTTCATCATCAGTGATCAGTTTCAGAAAAATCTTGTGATTTCAGGAGGAGATTGTAACATTCTCAATTTAGTCCCATCTTAATCTGCAGGAGGTAGTGGGTGTATTATCATGTATTTGAGTTTGAATCAAAGTTATGGCAAAGGATGTGGCTCTGTCAATCTAAGTTTGCCACTTGTAGTACGAGTTCTAATAGACAGAATCCACCATAAGGAACGGAATTTTCGTGATGAACTCTCGATATCTGAGATAGGCTTAGAGACACTGAAGCACTAAAAACTAGATTCCAAAGTTGCTCGAGATTCATTCACCTGCTTCTTCAAGCTTAAACTTTGAAGTACCAATCACCTTGCCCAACACTCGTTTCTCCCCAGGAAAGGGTTAACCCTAAGCTTATTTGTCTGACATGTTTCCCATATTTCTAGGCTCCTGACAAGATTAAAGAAGAACAATTACGCCTTCAAATTCATCGATGAAACCAGATGGGTAAAAAGGATCGAGCTTTGGAAGAGAAAATTGCAACCGACCTGCGGTCGGGAGGCGGGAGGTCGAGAGCGGCGTAGTGGCAGCAAGGTCAGAAGGCGCCGGCTTCTTGAGGGGCACAGAGGGCTGCACGTCCTCAGGGTCGAGGTCCGGATCGCCCAGCTCCGCCGCCGGCTCGCGTCGCACGCATCGCGACCACCTCTGTGCTCCCAACTACCAACAAACCAATCGGAGGTGGAGATGTCTCATCTTCGGTCTTGGGTTCGATTCATAGTAATATGAAGGCCCAGTGGGCCTAGGACCCAAAATAAATATTAGGCCCTGAGATTGATGTGCCATCTTCTTTTTTGGAACTCAAATATAATATACTTCCTATTTATTTCCTTTGTCTCATTTTTTGGGTATAAATTTAATAACCCATATAGATATATATAATCTGTATTCTTTGTATAACACATATCGCATTGTCATGAGACAGACTGCATTTTTCCTGATATTGTTATTTTTCCTCCCCTTGCACAATCTGAATTGGTAATATTTGAAGGGAAAAATATGTTGAATTACATTTGAAGTCCAAAGAAATTTTTGCAAACAATGAAACCAATCCCGTCTGAAGGCCCCAAAGGGATCTCCATGTCTCCTCTCTCACATAGGAGGATTAGAGCGGAAGACACAGATAGCAGTGGCCTCCGTGCCACATGGAGACCCATACCATGGTTGATCCAACGACATGGTGCGTGTCAGCCTTTTGTGTTGTTATATCCCCTCCAACTCACTGTTCTCGGTGCGTGGAGCAGTACTGCTACTACTGCTCTCCTTCCCTTCCATAACTCTCATCTATTTCTAGGGTTTCATTCTGCATCCTTCCCAGACCACTGATCAGTTCGTTGATGGTGTCTTCAAAAGACTCCAGGGGTTTCGAGGTAAATATGGCTACATATGTGGATTCATGGTTGGTCTTCCGAGTCTGAAGACCCATACATGTGGAAGAGTCTTCGGGTTTCACAGAGATTCTGGAGGCTTGCGGACACCACCATTCCCATGCATGTCCAGGGTTAGGGTTTAACAAGTGTTGGGTGCAGATCGTCAAGAACTAACTTGTTATAGATCCACCCATGGTGGACGTGTTGATCTCATGGAGATGAGTTAATATTTAGCTTAGGGTTCTTGTAAGCAAGGCTGCAGTGGCTCCAGAAGCTTTACTGCAATACGATCACAGTCATGAGGTTTGTGAGGAGATATGGTAGAAGATGGGTTGCCTCATATTTTTCCACAGCTTTCTTGAACTTGAGATAGGAACAGAAGCTTAAACTAAGCTCAAGAAAGTTGTGGGAAAACATGGGTAAGCCCAGATATCCGATTGCATCTTTCTCTACTTCGTTCAGGTATGCTGGTCAGATCTTTGAATTATTCATCTACTTTTCTTTTGTTTTGAGTTTAAAGTAGGACTTTAATTCCTAATACTAATGTAGCACTGGATCCTTCGAAGAACAAGTTGCTCTACTTTTTGTACCATGTCGAGTTCTATCACCAGAAATAGCATCTCTCTCTCTCTCTCTCTTTCTATAGTCAAAGGGTTTCTTTGTATGGTAGCTGTCCAATGTAAAATTTTAATTTACTTTGTAAGTGTTCATCTTCGGGATTTCTTTCTCACTTGGTTTTGTTTTAAAATTTCTCCCGCCATCAGCAGCATATGTATCCCTCAAACTCAGAACCTAACAACAATTTTAAATTGTATTATAATTTCTCATCATAAATTTATAGTTGTTGAATGACTATTTCAAGCCGTTGACTGTGAGAGTTCAGGTTAATTACTAAACTCATAAAGAGAATGTGTGGAAATAACGTCGGAATGAAAAGATGGTTTATATGCTTATCACTAACTAAATACAATAGTCAAACATCTACACAGTTAAAATAGAATCGATATACATGATAGAATCTTACCCAAGTCCCACCCTCAGAAGGTCAATATGCGTCTGTTCTGCTGCTGCACGCCCGCACATGAGAAGCTGACCCAAGAATTTGACATCCAGGAATTAACTGTTGTCGAAACATCGCAGAAGAAAACAAAAAAGCATTACACCAACAAAGCAACAAGAAGAAGAAAGAACTATGATCCTCACAATTCTTGGACTCTAAAATGCATTCAAACTACAGCAGAAACTTGACACTGAGGCCTCCTGGAAGAAGAAAAGTGGGTTGACATCCAGGAGTCTGCTCGAGTCACAGAAAGACAGGTTTTCTTTCGCACATCTACCACAGAGCATGAATCCTACCTAGCAATGGAATCCAAGGAGCAGGTCATTGCCGCTAAAGATCAGAGCAACAATATCCATAATGCAAAAATAGCTACAGATAGTTTGGATCCATACAATAAAATAGCCAAGAACCAAATCGAACATAACTCAGAGAATTACGATTACCAGAAACAGGTAAAACAGTTTACCTTGCAGTTGCTTCCCTTTCCCCGCTGTATAAAATGGAGGCATGATTATGCTGAGAACTAACCCTTCATGTATATCATAAACTATTATGTCAAACAATGTCACATAGTTAGACCTTTCAAATAAGTCTAAGATGATAAAAGGGTTCACAATTAAAGGATGGTAAATATATCTCACCTACAGGAGAGAGGAAAAAGGAACACACAAGTACCTGAAATTCCAACACAGCAAGCCAGAAAAAACTGTACCTTAGCCTATGATAGCATTTCAACTCTGTTCCGCACACTTAAGCTGGCAACAAGCTAAAGAAAGTTGAGACTTTGGACAATCGCCATATAGCATATGCAAGAATAAGAAATTGAGTCATCATCAATTGGTTCACAAGTAATATAACTTCCTGAGATTTCAGTGAACTTAACAATCAATGAATATATAACATCATCAGCATGGTAAATAATGTCTAATTGCATTAACCTAATTAAATTAGCCTCTATGGAGATTCATCTTCCTTCAGATCATACTCGATCAACAGTGTTGAAAAACTCCGCAAAGGCATGAAAAAGAAACCAAAGGTTCCTTGCTGACAGAAGAAGGGCAGATGATGGTACCAAGAGATGTGAAGAATCAAATTCACTGGAATAGGAAACCTGCATCAGGTACCTAGCAGATGAGAAAGTAAGATTTAAGCAAAAGAAATGGTAAATTGAGATTGTACATGAAACAAGGTTTTAAAGAAGCAATATAATAAGCCATGATATGTTGGTAAGCTTGCTCCCTTGGAGGAACACGTTCATTTCAGTGACTCAAGGAAACAATATCATCCGAATTGTGAATCTGCATTACAAACCATCAAGTTCATCAGCGGAGATAAGTTTCAAGTGTCAAACTATCAAAAACATGTCTAAAAGATTATCAAATACAATCCAACAGTTTTATCATCTCAAACTAGCATATATGAATAACTAGATGCAGAAAATTTCTGCAGCAACCTTTCTTTTTGACGTAATGATTATCTCTTTCTCCCACCACGCTCCCTCAGCGCAAGGGTTAGTGTTTCTCCAGGGCCAATGTTGTAATAAGCAAGCGTAAGATTGTCCTTAAGAAAACCGGCCCGACCACTCAGTTTCTGTTTATTAGCAGGAAGCTGAACCTCCGCTGCAATCTTCTCCTTAAGACTGCCAACAGTCTCAGATAAAGATTGGACTGCAATCTCCAGAAGTTGTCCTTTCAAGTTTCCTTCATCCACACTTGGAACAGATACAGAAATCCGACAAGACCCCTGAGAAGAATATAGGTAGGACTAGTGATGTGATATATAATAAATAGTTGTTCAGACAGTGATGAACCAATAGAATATGATTAAAAGGAGAGATGAAGCCAAAAGTTCACTTTACCGGATGCCGAGCAAGGAACTGATCCTCTGGAATGAGTGAGACATCATCGACTCTTTGCCGTTTTGGTTCAGGTTCATCTGGCAGTGGTGGAGCTTCCTCAGGAGGAGGAGGCGGTGGCATTCCTTGTGGGGGAGGTGGTGGGGGAACCATTGGCATGTTAGGTGGCGGCATAGGCAGTGGAACAAAAGTTCGGGAAAGTACCAATGGCGTGAACTGGGATCCAGGAGGTGGAGGTGGGTTTACCGAAATTGCTTGAGGCAATGGCTGCTGGTTCATCATAACAGGCTGCTGTGACGAAGGCATAAGAATAGGTGAAGGAGCAGGCCTCACAGATGGAATCATTGAAATCATTCCAGGCCTTGGATGTGGAAAAAGACCCCCACCAGCAGCAGGAACAGAATACGGAACTGTGTTTGGTGGGAATCGAGGAATATTCAATGCCAATCCAGGAGGTGGAGGGAGGGAGCGGACTAATGGCACCCCAGGCCTTGGTTGTGGCGCAGGACCTGGAAGAATCCACGAATCATTATTATTAGCTTCAGTTTGTTCCTCACCAGAAGCACTCTGTGATAATGCTTGAGTCGCGGTACGTCCAATACTTCCAGAGTGCCCATCCCATATGACCTGCTTTGGTTGTTCGTCTTTCTTCTTCTCAATTTCTGCTTTCACAGCATTGGAGACTTCTTCTTCTGTGGTGCCAAAAATATCAGGACGAGTTCGTGCAAGCCCGACAATGTTCTTTGAAATCTCATCATCTGCAGCAAGAGTTGTCTCCCGGATTTTAGCCATCATCCTCTCCTTTTGCTCCTTGTATTTGGGATCTATGAGTGAAATGCGCATGTGCTCAGCCATCTCACTAATAGAAATAAGCTCATTGGTGATTGGTGAAATGACAAACTTGGTTGGATCTCTTTCAGCAGGGATCCTCTCCTCGGGTCTCTTCCAGTTCTTCACTATCCTCATAGGAGGCTCAGGCTCATCACCAGGTGCTTTTGCTTCCATGGCATTCTCATTGAGTCTAGCAGCCTTCATGCCTTCTTCTACAAACTGCATCTCTTCTTCATCCATTTCCATTTCCATTTCCTTTCCTGGTTCAGATGTTTGCATCGGTTCCTCTTCATCCAATACTGATATCTTGCTTCTCCTAATGACCTCATCCAATGTCATTGGTACAGGCAGCTCCTCATCCTCGTCATCAACAAACTCGATTGTCTCCACGACAACAAAGTCATGCCAATCAATCATTGCCATTTGCATCCTCTCTTGCTCGATCTCATCCTCAGCCTTCTGCCTAGCCTGTTCCTGAGACCGCTCCCACTCCAGACGGTGCAAACACCTCTCGAGCACTGTTGTCAGATCACTGGTGCTTTTCCGCAGCTTTTCAGTTAGCCCCGTTGGAGGCATCAGAACCCTTGAGTATGCATCTGTGAGAGTCGTGAAGAATGTGAACATGCTATGGGTCGGCTTCAAAAAGTGGAATTGTGGATTGCTCATCTCCCGGCTCGTGAGGTTCGTCAAGAAGTTCTTCCCATTCCGTGCAACAAACTGTGCAGTGAGCTTAATGATATCCAACTCCTCCCCAGTGATCCCTTCTGGTAGTCTAACTGTGTACTGCTCAGCTTCGGGGGGCTCAAGGACCTTATTTGGGGGAATCCTAAACTGAACACCGGGGTCAACCTTGGTGGTAGCCTCATCAGAAGGTGCAGTTGCAGCTGCAGGGGCAGCCAAGCCATCAGAAGGTGCTGGGGCAGAATCCAATGGCTGAGAGGAGTCACCAGAGGGCTGCTGGGATGCCGCCTGAACCAAGGTGCGGTGCTCGGAGACCTTGTGCTGGTAGTAGGCATGATAAGGGTCCAAAGCAGTCAAAAAGTTGAACTTGTTGTTGCCAGCATTGTTGGCAAGAATCCTCTTCTCAAACTCCGGGCCGTTCTTGGCAACGAAAGCGGCAGTCTTGTCTATGATCACTCGGATATCAGGAGGAGGATGGATGATACCAATCGTTCTCGTGTGGGTCGCGACCGGCGCAGGAGGGGGCTGTTCTTTCTCTTCTTGGGGCTTATTGGCCGGGGCATCATTCGAGACCTGGGCAGGGGGAGTCGGGCCGAGGTTTCCATCAGAGGGCGGCGCCGGAAGCCGCAAGATCGGGGCTAGCATGCCGTTTCCTTCGATCGTTCGGTTCCTGCGGTTGGATAGAAGAACTAGGGCACAAATTCCAAAGAGAATGAGATAAATTAAAATCTAAATTGACGTTTCTTCGTCAGATTTCCGAGGTAAATTCCCAAGAAATGCAAGAAATCAATGGGAAACGAGAGTTTACTACTCTGATGAAGAGGCATCACAAATTTCTCGTACAAAACAAACCCCAAAATATCAACAACAAATGAACCTAGTGATATATAGCATACGAATATAAGTGAAACTAACTGATCCTTTCTCGATTCTATGTCCAAGATTTCCTTCGGCTTAGTGAGGGGAACGGAGAAGCTCCTTCGATTCCCCGACCAAAACTTGTGAGGTTTGGCCTCTTCGTAGGAACCCTAGGAGAGTCGAGCGCGGTTTGGAGGTGGGCCGGGAGATTTAGCCAAGGCTGGTATACCAATAAGACTCTCTCTCTCTCTCTCTCTCTCTCTCTCTCTCTCTATATATATATATATACCTCAAGGTCGTTAAGTTTATGGGGGGTGGGTGTGGTGGGAGGTGAGAGAATGAAAGTTAAAATCTTAATTGAAGATGATGAGGATTTGGATCTCCATCATCTCATGGATCTCCTCAAGGAACTAGAGATAGTGGCCACAGGAGATGAAGGAGACAACAATGCCTCCATCATAGCGGAATGATAGGGCGAAAGGATAATAATATTTTTTAAAAATAAAAAATATTCTACCCAAAAAAAGTGCTTAAATATTTTTTTAAATTTTTATTCTAAACATTACGTAGTTGGTTTAGACGTTCCATACGAGGGTTATGAAGTGGCAATATAAAGAGAGTGACCGATAAGACTAGATTATATAGAATTTCTATTCGTAAAGAAATTGTATGGTTTTTAATTCATTATGCTACAAACTCTAAAAGGAAAATGGAAATAACCTTGGCTATAGTTCATTCGCACTGGAATCGAACCGGGCCAACGGTTCACCAGTTCCAAACTGAATTGGAATTGGCCCGAAGTAATTCATTTCAATTCTTGATTTTTGCTTATTAAATATAATAAAAATAAAATCATATATGTAAGTGGTTAAATTTGAGAAAACTTGGTCCAAATCTTGAGAATAGTATTTAATTCGATTAAAAATTTCATAAATTTATTTTTTAATCGAAAGAGGTATTTAGTTGGATTAAATATTTTATAATTTTATTTCTTTATATCATCTTGCCCATTATCGTTATACATCTATTTTTTAAATTTCAAAAATAAAATTATAATTTTTATAATTTAAATTATTTTTAATTAAAAAAATTAAAATTTGACTGTTTGAACTGGAACCAGAATTGGTGGTTACAGTTCATTTCCAGAACTAGAACTTGAGTGAAATCAGACAAATCAAATTCTAATTTTAGTTCTTTGATTTTTAGAAAATCAAATGGAATTCAATATTTATCTACAATATTGTAGATAAATACTACAATCAGAGTAATTAACAAACAAACAATAAACATCATCCATGAGCGATACCAAGCCCTCAGAATTCAATATTTATCTAGTAGAGCAAGAAGAGGTAAAACTTAAGTCTGCTCTTCTTTTAATCCTCATATTATCATATTACATAAACAAAATAGAAATACAAAGAACATAACATGATCCATGAGTTTCAGCAACGTACAAATGTCGGGGTTTAGAGAAGAAAAACTATCCATATAAACAACATCACATGCCGCCAAACCAAATATTATGTACAGAAAATACAATTGCAGTTTTTAAGAAAGAGCGTGGACACTTACACCTAATGAATCTCAGCTGAAGGATTGGTCAATAGTTCAAGAGAGCGCCGAAGGAAATCCACCGCAACAGGGACATCGTCAAATCCAAGAGCACCCACAGCAAACCTTGCTGCCTTGTGAGCTTCTCCAATCTTCTCTACAGACGGCTGGTAATTGCTGTCATACTTGTAATTATCAACAGATGGGGCTGGGGGCACAGCATGGTTCACATTGCCATTGCCATTGCCACTGAACGGCACAGTTGATGGGTAATTGGGAAAAGATGGAGCTGAATGGTGAGAGGAGGCAACGTCAGGGCCATGGTGGAAAGCAGGCTGATGTGTGGGTGCTGCTGGGAACGTGCTGTCATGATAACTTGGGCAAGACTGAAAATTAGGGTAACAATAGTTGGGACTAGGATTTTTGGGTGAGTGATAATTTTGTGGAACAGGTTGTTGTTCATTTGGATAGGATCGGGGATCGTAGTGTCGAGGGTAAACAGTGTATTCAGGCCTGTTTGTTGGTGGAAACTGATGGAGACCATTAGTAGGATGCTCAGTGGTAGCATAAGTTGTTGAAGGTGCTTGACTAGAGAAGTCTGTATTAATTATTTCGGAGTGTTGTGATGATATATCAGCACCTCCGTGGCTATTCTGGAAGCCCTTACTTCTTCCTAGACTCTGTAATTAAGAAAAACAATTGCCACAAGAGGCATCTATCATTAACAGTTTAGGCAGAAAGAAAAAACAGATCTGCATGTAAAAAGTTCCAAGGTGACCTCATTTATATGCGGAGATGATGTGTCGCCACCTGGTTGGCTAGATGGAAAGCTCTCACTTGGACCCAAATCCTAAAAAAGGATAAAATGTTATAAGAATCTTTCTGCACATTCCATCAACTAATTTTTGTCCATCAAAACAAGATTTGGTGAAATCACTTTAGGAATAGGAAACTTCTCCAATTCAAAAAGAATAGACCTCCCAAGAAAGAATAAGAGTGAACAAGAGTTATTATATTAAACTATCATTACAATAAAGCATAAAGATATAATAGATCTTCCAGTATGGTCTCAGATGTATATACTGTCTTGTATATAACGGGGTATTAGTGACATAAATCTCAAGTAAATTATGTATAATTCCAGACTAATCTGCCAAATACACATAAAAGTAATAAGATTCCCAACAATCTCGTTTGCCAAATCACTATAAGCTGGCAGCATTGCATTGCCTGTGTCGAAATTGAGAACGCTCATAGAGGAACCAACAAAAGCTAATTATAAGAGAAAAACAAGATGTGGTACTTTAAAGTTTGTTCCAAATTCCGACCCAGGAAAATTCAAATGAGAGATAGAGAGCGATTGACTTCAATCTTGGTAGCTGGCAAGAAAGCTTTGCCTTTTTTGCATGCAACTTAAGCTCACAGAAGTAACCCCAAAATTATCCAACACATGAATTAAGTGGACAAGAAGGGGGAAATGACAAATAGTGTTATAGAATTTATCTATATGAGATATTAAAATTAGGTTAAGAAGCATACACATGTGCTTCTTGGTGAGGTTGACACGTCATCACCACCAGGAGGGCCTGGTTCAGGCTTTCTTCCTTCCTTCAAAGCTTTCCTTATATCTACAGCTTTCCAAACTGCATACTTCTGCTTCTGCTCAATCTACAAATGACAAACCCATTTTTTGAGCATGGACATGAAGAAGTTTTTCCACTCTAAGGAATCAAGACAACAATAAAGGAGACAGTGCTGCCTGCTAAACTTACTTCAGGATGAAGTTTACCAAATTGATTCAAAATCTCAAAGAAAATGCTGGCTGCATAAAATGTTCTTGCAGTATTCCTGTAAGATCCACAGAATTAATTTGGCTGCACTAGTAAGACAGAATGTACAACAAATAACTGCATAAAGTACAAGTCAGCTCTCCCAGCCCGATCTTGCTTATCTGCCTTTGCAAAAAGATTCAATGCAAAACCCTCCACATAAAGATTGTCATCTGGTCCTAATTTTAACGATTTCTTGTCCTGCAGCAAGATGCAGCAGTTCCACAGGAACAAAGAGAAAAAAATCTAAATCAATAATGAATTCCCATATCATAATGCATTGCATAATGCTACAATTGACAGAAAATATAAACAACTAAATGAAGAAAAAAATCGACGCCATGTATGAAGTTTATTTCAGAACATAGCTTAAGTAGATTGGTGATAGACTTTATAGAAAGATCCACTTGGCCAATATCATGGTTTGGCATTTCGGGTACCAGACCCTTGCTGGTCTCTCGCCGAATGGGTATGTGCCAATGTACCCATACAGTACATTGACACATACGATGAAATTTCTTTTAGGCTTTGGCTATACATGGTGTTAGGAGGCACATGCCAATGCCACAACACAACAGGTCATCCTACACACCGCCTGGTATATACCGATCTGAGAAAAATGTAAAACCATAGAGCATATTTATTAGAGTTTCTTTGTTAATGCTCATCAGTTCATGAGTGGTTGTAATACAACCTTCCTTGACAAGAAACAAGTACTGGACATTGTTCTCAAGCAAAAAGACATGTCACATATGAAACTAAAGTAACTGCTTTAGCAGCAGGGCACCCGTCTATATGTTTTATGCATGTGGGAGAGGTACACGATGCCCTAATTTTTATGAAACATCCATTTCCTCAAGTAAACACAGTAGATGTGCTCAAACCAGCCCTCCTGAGGCGACCAGGTCTCTTTCACATAGTTGAATAGTGTGGCCATCATCAGTTCACGAAAGGTAACCAACAAACACAATCAATAATTTGGACTTTTGAAGCATGATCACCAGGTTTCCACAATGAATCAGGTAGTTATAATAATCTTCAGAACATGAATTCTCTTATCATGCATTCTATTAACACACACACAATCCAATTCATACCTAATTAAGTGAATGAACACAAGCGTATGTACTTGACGCAGCAGAATTCTCACAGAAGCTGCATTGAAGAATTAAAACGAGCGATGAAGCTGATGATAAATAGGAAGAAAAAGACGGGACCTTCTCAAGCTGGTTCATGAGAGAGACAAGGATGGCGTCGGTGGTCTTGGTGCGCTCTTTCTTGGGGATCTTAAGCCCACGATCCATCGCGTACAGCCGACCTATGAGACCGATAGGAGTACCGACAGAGACTTAAGGAATCGTGAGAAATATATGGCTAGGGTTTCTCTACGCGGACTCACAATAATAGGTGACGATGGGCTCGTGCTTCTGGAGCTCGTCAGCTCTCTGGAGATATGGCAGCAGCACCTTCGCCGGCTCCGACTCGCTCCCCCCTGCCATTACACCTTTTTATGCTGTGGTGATGCAGAGATCGATCCCGACGCGAAGAAGTAGAAGAAGAGATCGAATTGGGGACCGGAAAGAGGAGAAGTGTCGGGGGATTGATCGATCGATCGCTACAAAGTTCGGAGTTGATATAGTGGTGTCCGGGTTGGTTAACTCGAGACGAAGGAACCGCCACTGAAGGAATATATATATATATATATATAGTTTCTTAGAAGATGTGCCAAAAATATTATAAATTTATTTAAAATAATATAACCGATATAAAAGTCTCCTTAATTATCTTTATTGCTAAACCAATAACAATCCTTTTTTCACTGAATAATGATCCTATTTAAAATCTTATTTTTGTATATGAGATGGTTTCTATTGGGTTTTGAATTTATTGTTTCAATTATAGTATATTTGAATTATTTAATTGAGGTGTCAAAAAATAGTATAAATCTATTTAAGAATACTATAATTGACTACTGGCCCAACGATTCTCTCGAATACTATAATTGATTATCGATGGATTAATTCACCATATGCAATGATGCATATGGTATAAAAATACTGTTTCAATGCACCCATTCAAGGACATTTTGACTGTGTTTGACTAGAAACACTGTCAAAATACTATGATGCATATCCATTATAAAAATTGATATGCACTCATTATCTCAAACAGCACTCATAATCACAGCAATTCAACCTACTTCCATGAGAGTGATCCTAAACTATTGATTGCCATATGTTCTTGAAACTGGATCCTTTATGCTCTTGTACATTAATGTAAAATTACCAATATAACAGACCAAATATAGTCCATAGAAATGCTCAATTTTAATCATGAGCTGAAACCTTAGAATAGCAATCAGTAATGAGAACCGGTTTTCCACTGCATATGTCTGCGTAGATTTAGTAAGATCCAGGTTCAAGTTTATGAAACAGCCATAAATTACACACCAGCCCATTGACTTCATAGCTGCTAGGGCTAGAACCTGCTTTGATGCTAACTGATGACCTACAGAAAGCAAAACTGGACCATCACCTGCACAAATTGCATAAATGAAAATTAGATCAATGAAATATACGACGTAAAAAATATAGATAAAGGCAGCCGTAAAAATAATGCAAGAAAACATGCATATGAATTTTTGGTCACCACCAATCCAAAGTCACTATGTTTTTTGAGTTTTGATCAGTTTGGCCAAAACAAGAATTCATTTCAATTAAAATTATTGTTATATGTAAGTGAAAGATAAATTAGGACTACTAACATGAATTATCAGTGGTAATTGATTCTGTCACCAGGAAGGTCTGCTCAAGACAAACAACAAGACTCGAACACTAGATCTGTTGATTGGGAATTTTACGCTTCACTTCATGCTAAATAACCCCACTAATCACTTTTCATGTCTGCTTGGAACAAGTATAAAACCGAATCTTAAAACAGTGACAGGATAACTCAAAAATAACACAAGAATTATACACCTGGTATTTCAATTTTTACCAGAAACTATCATTAGATTAGGTGACAACATACAGTTGAGCACTTCATACAGCGAAAGTGGTCATTTTTCTGTAGTTTTGCATTTAGGAACTTAAACAAAATTGCCTCCAGATGAGAACCAAAAGTGGAACAAAATTCAATACCACGGCCTGACCCCTTGCTACAATCAAGAACATTAACTCAAATTTACAGGTTTGAGAAATAATAACAAGAGATCGATCTACAAAGGAGAGAAGTACAGTGTCCAAAGAAAAACTAGAGGACCTCATTGCTAGAACAATGTAATCCAACTAAACAATGATGATGATGATGATGATGATAATAATTCTGAGGTAACATTTTTTCCCTATCATTAAAATCAAGAAACAATACTAGACCACTTTTTTATTCTTATTTAAAATAATGTAGTCTCAACTGAAAGATTAATCTTTTAAGCTCAGACAAAGCTTTCAAATAAAAAAATCATTAGCATATACTATCTCGAGGAAGCTTAGGATGGTGAATCTTCTATCTAGTCAATCTTAACGACTAAGCCTATCAGCATTGTTCACACTTCACAACACATTGTCGGCTGGTTGATAAGAATAACTGAGCACCTTGCCTCATTTTATAAACATAAAAAAAAAACCACACAAGCCCTGAATCTTTAGATCTATAACCTGATGGTCCTGATCTGTTATATCTTTTTCTAATTGCAGCATGATCTCCACAACAAGGTCCACTTATAACATCACTGGTGATTGATTCAACAACCAGAAAATAAGTTATACAGCTCAAGGAACAATCCATATGAATGATATTGCTCCTAATTTACCTTAAACCGAAAGTTTCGACTAGAAAGATGTGTAGTTTCAACCTAACATCAGCTTGTTGATGTTTTATTGAATTACATTAAAAAACATCTTTACCATCGAAAGAAACTATCACATAGTAAATACAGCCGCAAACAAATATACCAAGTAGAACCGAGGATGTTCAAGATTTTCTTTTGGCTTGACCCCGATAACTTAGGGCCACAAAGGCACAATGAGCCACCACAACACCATATGTTAAACACTTCCATCTTACATAAACTCAGATATATAAGAAGATATATGAACTTTGTTACCAAGTATTGACTATCTCTCCATTGTCATTAACTAAAATGTCCATCAATAACCTAATTTTCTGTGTCTTATTATAACCATATTTTATGTATAGCATGCTAATGATAATACAACATCTTGCCAATGTGAAGTTAGATTGAAAATTTACATAATCCTCCTGAAACCCACACCACGGTAGCCGAAAGTTTTCCGTGTGCACCATGGGATTATAAAGAAGCAATATCTGGGGTGCCGGAACAGATTATACAAGTCAATGGGCTGTTGTTTTAAGGGAGAAATCTTAATTGCCAGTGGCTCTATTCATTGGAATGTATCTTTATACAGCTTTCTTTAGTCACTGGTGAATTTAGATCCCCCATTGGGATCACAAAAATAACAATAACTCAGCATTCAATTGGTTCAAATCAAATACACAGCAAGCTAAATACGAGAAAAAAGGGGAAGACAACATACTGCAATCAATCGTCGAGCTTTTAATTCTCAGGGGCGGCCGCCGCCGCAGCTCCTTCGGCAGCCTGATCAGCATCCGTGTCGGGCGCCTGCAAGATGCTGAGAAGCGACACGGCGGGCGTCTGCAGGCAGCCAAGAAGATAGGCGTACGATTCCATACGGGTGGGCATGGTCTCGAGGGCCTGGAAGTCGTCCGGACCGTAGAGGCGACCCTCGAAGACAGCCCCGGTGAAGTCGTTGAGAGCGAGCTTAAAATCGCGCTGGAAGTCGCGGCAGGGCTTGAGGGCGGGGGGGATCTCGTCGGAGTGGACGAAGAGCCAGGCGTTCATGCCCTTGGCGCAGGGCCGGAGGGGCTCCCACCGGGTCCCGGCAATGGCCTTCTCCACCAGGGTGTTCTTGGCCACAATCAGCTTGGCCGACGGGGGGAGCGCCCCCCGGAGGGCCTGCAGCTGGCGCACCGTGAGGCCGTGGCACCAGATCCCGGCCAGGAGGTGGCAGTTTTCCAGTTCCCGCCGCACCATCTCCTTCTTCATCCTGGAGACCGCCGCCCGGATCGGCGGCAGAGAGGTGGACACAGCGGACCGCAGCGACGCCATGAGCCGCCGCCGAAGTCTACCCGCAATGCAACGGCGAGAGGGCGTGCACACAAAAATCCCAGACCTAATAACCGGACGCGAACCATGAGCAAGATGGTCCTCTGCGCTTTAAAAGTCGTGTCGTTTGATCACATACGATCCATCTCGAATATGAAGGGTAAGGATCCTATTCCAGATCTACGCATGGTAGTATCAGAACGAATGACACTGGCTACAGCGCGCCGCTCGTTGACCCTTTTGCTTCGTCGCGCCCAATAAATGAAGACTTCGAATTGGACTAACTCAATTGAGAAGAATATAACTATATTAAGAATAATATTTACATTATGGCTGATATCAAACATGCAACGACAACATTAAGCGAATAAATTAGAATTCTCCTTAATATAATTCGTAATATCCATCATAAATATTTTGTCGCCTATCATGGATTAAAGTAGAACACTGGTCCGGTCCGGGCCAGCTCGATCCGCACAAACTCGGCCTCGTACTCGAATGCGCGACGTCAAAGAGAAAGATCTAGAAATGCCCCCCCTTTCCACTATATATTCCACTTCTTTCCTCTCCACCCATCCTCGCTACCCGAAGCCCTAGCGCCGAAGCCCTTACATCTCTCCCTCGATCGATTTTGAGCGAAGCCATGGCGGCCGAGACGGAGACCTTCGCTTTCCAGGCGGAGATCAACCAACTCCTCAGCCTGATCATCAACACATTCTATTCCAACAAAGAGATCTTTCTACGTGAGCTCATCAGTAATTCTTCCGATGTAAGTTTCGTGTTCTTTTAAGATCTTAGTCCGAGGTAAAAGAAATTCTCATTTTTTGTTCTTTCCTTCGTTTTGGTTGCTGATATTGGTCTTTAAACAGGCGCTGGACAAGATTCGATTCGAGAGCCTCACGGATAAGAGCAAGCTTGACGCCCAACCGGAGCTCTTCATTCACATCGTCCCCGATAAGGCCACCAACACGTTGTCCATTATCGACAGTGGTATTGGCATGACAAAATCCGATCTTGTAAACAATCTCGGTACCATTGCTCGGTCAGGGACCAAGGAGTTCATGGAGGCGCTGGCCGCTGGGGCCGACGTCAGTATGATCGGGCAGTTTGGAGTGGGGTTTTACTCTGCATATCTGGTAGCAGAGAGGGTCGTGGTGACCACGAAGCACAACGATGATGAACAGTACGTCTGGGAGTCACAGGCCGGGGGTTCGTTCACGGTTACCAGGGATACCTCCGGGGAGAGCCTTGGAAGGGGGACAAAGATCACCCTTTTCCTCAAGGAGGATCAGGTAAACACTTTCCTGTAGGCCATAATTCTTGCAAGTATTATAACTTTTTTTCTGTTTTTTATCACTGTGTATTACATGATAAGAACATTCGCTTCCTGTCATTATCTCGAATTTCCATTTGGATCGATATATATTGAAAGCTGATTATGAAAGGAAGTGACCAGGGGATTGAAATTGTTATTTGTTATATCCCTCATACTGATATTTCTATACCCATAAACTTTTGATTTTATGTGTGATGGTAAGTAATTTGTTTCTTTGTTCCTGGTAATGTAGTTTTAGGCTACTGCATTCTTACTTATCTTTGTTATGTTACAAGCCTAAGCTATGATCTATTGCCATATGAATATGTCCATGTTTGGTGATGCATGAACTATGTTTCATCATTTTGAAACAATATAATAAGCAACTCCTTGTTGATCGTGTCTTAGCCCCTCTTCTCTAAAGATTGCATTTGCTTTGCTCTATGATTTCTTTCTTGGCAACAGCAACTAGTTTTCTCCTAGTGTATTAATTGGGCAGTTCTAAATGTCTGCTCTTGTTGGAGATTCCCGTGTGAAAAAAATCCTTATTGATTAATGTTAGCATATGAATGTTATCTTGTGCTTTGCTTTGATGAATTGCAGTTGGAATATCTAGAGGAACGGCGCCTCAAGGACTTGATCAAGAAGCACTCTGAATTCATTAGCTATCCCATTTCCCTGTGGACCGAGAAGACCACAGAGAAAGAAATTTCAGATGATGAGGATGAGGAGGACAAAAAAGATACCGAGGAAGGCAAGGTGGAAGATGTTGATGAGGAGAAGGAAGAGAAAGAGAAGAAAAAGAAGAAGATCAAGGAGGTTTCTCATGAATGGTCTTTGGTCAACAAACAGAAGCCTATCTGGATGAGGAAACCTGAAGAGATCACAAAGGAAGAGTATGCTGCCTTTTACAAGAGTCTCACTAATGACTGGGAGGAGCACTTGGCTGTGAGACACTTCTCTGTAGAAGGCCAGCTTGAGTTTAAGGCCATTCTTTTTGTGCCAAAGAGAGCTCCTTTTGATCTCTTTGACACAAGGAAAAAGCTCAATAACATTAAGCTTTATGTTCGTCGTGTCTTCATTATGGACAACTGTGAAGAAATAATTCCTGAATACTTGAGCTTTGTCAAAGGGATTGTGGACTCTGAAGACCTTCCCCTTAACATTTCAAGAGAGATGCTCCAGCAGAACAAGATCCTCAAGGTCATCCGCAAGAATCTGGTCAAGAAATGTATTGAACTCTTCTTTGAGATTGCTGAGAACAAGGAGGACTACAACAAGTTCTACGAGGCATTCTCAAAGAATCTCAAGCTTGGAATCCATGAAGATTCTCAGAACAGGGCGAAGATTGCAGAGTTGCTTAGATTCCACTCCACCAAGAGTGGGGATGAGCTGACTAGCCTCAAGGACTATGTTACACGAATGAAGGAGGGTCAGAATGACATTTACTACATTACTGGTGAGAGCAAAAAGGCTGTGGAGAATTCTCCCTTCCTTGAAAAGCTGAAGAAGAAGGGCTACGAGGTTCTTTTCATGGTTGATGCAATTGATGAATATGCTGTTGGTCAGCTGAAGGAGTTCGAGGGGAAGAAGCTGGTGTCTGCAACAAAGGAGGGGCTGAAGCTTGACGAGAGTGAGGATGAGAAGAAGAGGAAGGAAACCCTGAAGGAGAAATTCGAAGGGCTCTGCAAAGTCATCAAAGAAGTATTGGGTGACAAGGTGGAGAAAGTAGTGGTGTCTGATCGTGTCGTCGACTCTCCCTGCTGTTTGGTCACTGGAGAGTATGGATGGACTGCCAACATGGAGAGGATAATGAAGGCACAAGCTCTCAGGGACTCCAGCATGGCTGGCTATATGTCTAGCAAGAAAACTATGGAGATCAACCCAGAGAATCCCATCATGGAGGAGTTGAGGAAGCGAGCGGATGCAGACAAGAACGACAAGTCAGTCAAGGACCTGACACTGCTGCTATTCGAGACGGCTCTCCTCACATCTGGTTTTAGCCTTGATGATCCCAATACCTTTGGCAACAGGATCCACCGCATGCTGAAATTAGGTCTCAGCATCGACGAGGATGAAAAGGTCGAAGACACTGACATGCCGACGCTGGAGGATGCTGATGCAGAAGAGAGCAAGATGGAGGAAGTCGACTAATCTGGTCCAAACATTGCCTCTTGAATCCTTTGGCACTTCTTAACAGCTTAAGAGTCTCATGGTGCTGTAGTTTGGTTCTTCAGGAATTTGTTAAACCTTCTTTGCGCCTTATGGCAAAGAGGTTCTTATATCTTCCACTTATGCATGCTTGGATAACTTCTGTTATTTTATGTTAGATCAGTCTATGATTTCACAAGTAGTTGATTAATTTGAATGGCACAATTTATAGGAAGTTCCTTCTGTTCCCAATTGCCTAAAAGCAGCAGTAATTTACTCCTAAAAGTCCACAAGAAAGCATGCAGATGGATCCACAGATGACATGGCTGTTCCTAGGACCTCTGAAACAGCTTCCAGGAGCTGGCCCTTCTCAAGACTTTTCAGCATGCAGTGACAAACCATCTGCAACTCTTTGGTCAGAGCGCTGAGGCATGCATCAGTGTCTCCACCGGCAGCTGCACAGATGCAATCTGTCATGTCCAATAAGGTTACATCCCTCTTGCGCATCACCCCATGTTGCAAATTAGTAGCAGCAGACATAGGTTCATCTTTTGAGTTCATGGTAAATGAACGTTGAGACAAAACGTATTTAGAGAAATTAATATATTTAACATATATATAATTGTATAAAAAAATCAAAAGCACATAATATTATTTGCTGTGATGAAGGCCCATGATACATGATTCTATAACCAGGATTTAAGGATCTTTTCACTATTTTGTGATTTCTTTCATGACTTCCAGCACTTTTTGCCTTGTTTTCTTCCCGAGGTGCAAAGATTGGACCCAACACACAAGTTTTAGCATCATAATGTTATGAGCATCTTAATCTAATATTCATTTCAATGACCTAAGATTTCTATCTTCTCCTAGTTGTTCTTATTTCACAGAAAATGATTTGTCTGCTAAAAAGAAACAAGCTGAAGGATGCTAACTGCTGCTGCATTTGAGTTGTTTCCAGTCTCCATATGATGCAATAAAGATTAATAGAACTCTCACAGTCATGTGATGATAAGCCTGAATCCAATCTGTAGACTTCCAAATTGATGCCTTTTTGTTTGTAGAATTAATAGAACTCTCATATTCACTATAGACATCCAAATTAATGACTTTTAACTTTGTTTATTATATATTCAAGTCAAGTTCAACATGATCAACTTTTCTTAATGCAAGACCATCATTTTTCACATTGCCATGTAAAAGAAAAAAAATCATTGTTCCAAGTCACCATGCAACAAATAATCTCCATCCCTTCTTTCTTCACAAGTTGTTGCACACTTTTTAAGAACCCTAAAAAGTGACCTGGTCTTCCTCCTCAACACCATGCATACATCACACACACACCCCTTTAGTAGTCAAAGTAATCTTACTTTAATCAAGTGCCTCACTTTGTGGTAGTCTTGTTTCAATGAACGTGTACTCGACAATTTCCCTCAAGAAAGCCACTGGCATTTTGGTCAGATCAGTATTCCAGTGGCATATCCAAGCTATCAATCAAAGAGGAGGGCTGCTTTGTCACAGAGCTCCATCCTTGTCTATATCTCTTCTCAAGAACACAAAAGAAAGAATTATTTATTGATTTCAATATATTTGAAGTGAGTACTGACAAAGTTCCAATAAGTTGTTACCCATTATACATCCCAATTCAATGAATTTGGACCACCTTAGATCTTCCACAACATGTCAGGGGAACATAGCATCCTCTTCTTGTTTATATAAAATAACATTAACTTGATAACTATGATTTTTGTTTAGATACATTTATCCTACTCTTCTTTGTGGGTTGAAGTGACCAGATTTTTCAAGTTAAGATTATAATTCACAACTAAAGATGTATTGTACAGCATAAAAATTGAAGAAATCATGCTATCAAACTCCTTTTGTTAGATAGCATCTAAAAAAAGAGAAAGAAATAAAAAGAAAATGTAGGGAAAGCAGATGCAGGTTAGAATTCTGAACTTGCTAAGGTGTGCTCAGAAGGTGATGTTTGAATGCAATCATTGATCTCAGAAAGCCTTGGCTTAGATACTAAGCTCTCAGCTCTGAGGGAAACCAGAGATGATCCCCACCTTTGCATGTTGGGCATATCATTTCATTGGAAAGTACTTGCATGCTCAAGATAAAATTGATGGTTTTAGGTTGAGCTAGGGGCATGTTGGCCAAGTGAAACTGTAGAGAAGGGGAAAGGCAGTGTCAAGAGTTGGCACCTCCACATTTCACTCATGAACAATATATCAGCAAAAGATAAAAGTAAGAGAGAGAAGATTAAAAAATAGATATTAGAGTTGGTACAGCAGAGGACATCCTCCATTTCCATTGCTCTCTCTCTCTCTCTCTGCAGTTGCTTGTTGCTGTACAGGCCTGCCTCTGGTGGAGAACCTGATGCCATTGAGTGGGTGGTGTGTTTTCATCTTTCATTTCCTCCCATCTTCTTCTGTGAGTGGAAGAAGAAAACAAGACCCTCTTCTTTCTCATCAGCTCTTCCTCTCCTTTTGTAGAGTAGGCAGCTCTACAGCTGCACTTCTCATCTCAACACTGCTTGATTTTTTTTCCTCCCTTTGGAGTCAAGAGTGGGTAAGGCATGGAGATGCTGCCTTTTCTTTTGTGTGTGTGTGTGTGATTCTTTTTCCTCTGCTGCCATGGGTTTTCATTCCTATCTCTTGCATGTAATTTCTGTTTCTCTTGGACCCTCTGAAGGTTGCATGTGGGTGACCGTTCATGGATTTTCTTGGGATCTTGCTTTGGTCACTGCATCAGTTTGCATCAGCCATGTCCGTGTCCTTGTTGGGATCTTTCATACGATCGACCTCTCTTCCCCTCCTCTCACCTTTCTCTTTCCCATCGTTGAAATCTTTTGCTTGGATCTTGGATCTGTGCGGGGTTTCTGGTACCTCTCAGGAAAGGGAAAAATCAACAACTGGATTTCCTTCAGATTTGTGTCTGGATTTTTTGGCCCAAGATGCGTGATGACCTTCTTCTTCTTCATCATCTTTACCAACACTTTTGTCCGGTCTCTTCTACTTCATCCCCTTCTGTTCCATCCGAGGAATCCAAGGCCCTAAAGATGAATGGTAACCCTCTCATGGCTTTTCTTTCCTTCCTTTCTCTTCCATCTTATTTTCCTTCAACTTCCTTGCAAGATTTCCCCGGGTGGGTTGCCATGCTTTTGATTCTCCTCGTTCTCGGTACTCAGGCCCTTGGTTTCTATTCTGTTTCCCTTGGAATTTGTTTTCCACCCATCATTTCATGTGCAGGGCTTCTGCCATCCTCTCCTTTCTACCTTCCTTCCTTCCTCCTCATCTGCTAATGAACTGGTTTATTTTTGGAGGGTGTGGGTGCCCCTGCAAATCTCCTCACCCCCTTTCATCACATAAAATGACACCTCTGCAAGTTTCCCAACCACATGACTTTTGATCTTCTTTTTGCATGGGAGGCCTCAGGTGCCTTGGTCTTCAAGGAGCCTGATCTGTAGTCTTGGGTTTGAAGTCCCCCCCCAAAAATTCCAGTTTCGTGTCTACATGAAATAATGCTCCAGAAGTCTCCATCTTGTATCATGGGTCCTGTTTCCTCCCCTAATAGGTGACTTGCTCCTTTTTGATTACTAAGTTTAGTTTTCTTTTTGTTTAATCTTGCAGGCATCAAGTCAGGTGAAAGGTTGCAAGTTCTCCTTTCTGGGATTTTACTGTTCTCCTACTTCTTCTGAGGGGTTGCTTGGGAGCTCAAGTCCTTGGTTATGCTGGAGGCTAAGAACAAGAAAAGGTCCAGTAGCAATAGAGCTGTTGGGCTATTACTCCAGTTGGAATATCTAATAGGAGGAAAATTGGAGCAGGCCTTCTTCAGATGTTATCCGCTAAAAGCCCTCTAGATCCTCCATGTTCCTCCAAGGTTCCAGCACCGAAGACTGGCGAGACGGTCTCTGAAAAGCTTGCCTCCCGGGAGAGGGATCCCATTCTTGGACAGACACCAACTCCTAATTTCTCTATAAGGTAACAGTTCCCCGGAGCACTGCCTTGTGTTGGTGTTGTGTTGCTAAATATTCCTTGCATCAATCAGATTAGATGTGTTTATTTCCGGAGGGCCTTTCGCTAAAGGTTTTGGTTCTTCACTTACAAATCTATTGGATGAGTACCAACCTTTAGTGGATCTGAGCTCATTTTTCGCCAGACTATTGCCATTGATATCCATCACAGGCCTCTGGATATCTAAAGCAATCAGGAATGAAAGGCTTGATTCTTCTTCTGGTGGATGATTATGGTTTTGATTTTCTTGATATGTTATTAATTATATGGACTTAATTAATCATATCATCTGATTAACAAAAGTTGTCCTTGTAGCGAAAGGTGACAGATTTAGAGGGTCATGGCTTTGTGGAATGTTTGTCTAGTTCCTTGATTAGTGGTTCATTTTTGTATCTAGTCTTGGCAACTAATGTGTGGTGTGATCTGAACAAGTTCACTGGTGAAATATTGTTGTGAATGAGATTGACCTCCTTTTTGTGTCTATGCTTGGAAGTATGGAGTTGTGTTTGATCGTCTAACTTTTATGCCTTGCTTGCAAAAATATATCTGAGGCTTGTTCTTATAGAACTGTTGCTTTGATCTCAGGGATTATGTTTTCACATCAAGGAGCAAAGGCATCGAGACGAGCTGGCCGTTCACGCAGCATTTCTTGCAGCTTTGCTTGAAGCATGGTGTCAAAGATCCATTGCCACCCTTCGAACCTCCAGATTTGGTGAGAGTCCAGTGTTGGAGCAAGGGAGTAGAGTCTCAACAATCTGTAATCCGCCCAGAAATTGAACAGATCCCAGTGCATATTGGTCCTCAAGAGAAGGCCGTGAATATAAGACGGGACTTGTGTTCGCCGATAGAGACACAACCTCCAGATGGAAGGTCAGCCACTTGTCAGAGGTTTAGAACTGATGAACTGACTCATTCTGGTGCAGATATCGGCTCGATAATTACTCGTGATCAAGTTGAAGGGACTTCTGCTGCGATTGGTGGAATTTCATGCTCATTTGCTGTAAATAGAGATGTCTTTGAAGCGCCTTCAGATATAGACGTTGTTGAACCCACCAAAAAGCTTGGAAGCTCACGCGAACCATCCGAAAAGAAGTGCAGGTTGATAGTCAGATTGGGTGTCATCTCCGACAGTAGCCGGGCAGAGGACATAAAATCTAGCTCCAGTACTGTTTCAGATCCTATGGCTTCAAAGGTTTGTCCAGTTTGTAAAATGTTTTCTTCCACTTCAAACACAACTTTGAATGCGCACATAGACCAGTGCCTGTCGATGGAGTCCAACACCAAGTGTTGTTCAAGCAAAGTCGTAAAACCAAAAGCGAAACCAAGGAAGAAAAGATTGATGGTGGATATCTATACTACTGCTCCTCGTTGCACTCTCGAAGACCTTGATAAGAGGAATGGTTCCCACTGGGCTGTTGAATTGGCATTTGCAGCTGCACCAAGTGTCGAAGTTGACACAGAGACAAAGAAACCAAAGTTGGTACTGGTGGGTTCTGGAGAGGGCATAAAGGAAGGAGCTGTATATGTTGATTCAAATGGTGTAAAACTAGGAATTTTATCCAAGCTCAGTAGTACATCACAGTCAAAGGAAGAACTGAAGTTGCAAGAGCATGACAAAGTCGTCAGGACTGGCAAAAGTTTTCTGATCGGCAAAAAGAAACATTTCAAAGCAAAGTACTCAAAGAAGATGAAAATGAAGTCACAGAGAAAGAAGTTGAATTCATTTATGCTGTTGAAAGCAAAGGTACTTTGACTTTCTTCATCCAGAAATCTATGGCTGCATTTGAGTTCTTGCACAAACACTCTTCATTACTTATATCATTCTAAGCAAACTCTTTATGGAAATTTCGAAGTATTCTCTTCTGGTTTGATGTATTCTTTAATATGCTGAACAAGTATATTGTTCACTACATCTCTTCTATAGTTAACATAGTATCTAGAAACATGTTGAAATCTTAGATGTGCTTAAGTCTGAAGCAACATCCAGTTTATGAGTTCTTAACAAAGAACCTGCCTACTGCTTCCATGGCCTTGTTTGTGTTACATTTATTTTTTCTAATATTTTTACAGCTGTAAGTTGGAACTTGTGACTGTTTAAGCCTTCACTTTTCTCTCATTTCAAGCGTTCTCATCATGATCCACAGCTATAATCATACCAGTCACTACTTCAAATTTGTACGACTTGATGCTTTCCAGCCTTTTGGATTTGTGTCTCCGATCCTTGTATTTCCTTCCTGTCTGGGTATATTCTTCAAATAACATCCCAGTCATAATTTACAATCTGGGTTTTCTAGCATGTTTTGTGTTTATATGGTTATTTTATGGCTGAATTCTTCATCCTAACTTTTTTTTATCAGCTTTAATTCTACATGTGTTGATCATTAGGCCAATTTGGTGGCATGATTTGTATATTTGTATATTTGTTTGATCAGATGCAAACTTCAGTCGAAGGAGATTGTGATGGAGAAACTCATCATGAGAATGGAGAATCACTGTTACATATATCAGATCCAGGAAACCTTGCCAACAGTAGGCCTGCGTGTCTAAGGCAGTGGATTTGTTCCAGACGATCAGATCTTCCAAAAAAACTTGCCAGCAAGAATGCCCATAGTGCATCAGATAATACTGCACTTGTTACCAGGAGCATGCTGACCGAGAATAGCCGACCAGATGCTTATATTTCTTCTGTTTCCTTAAGCCATCACTTGAAGTTTTCTAGGTTATCTGAAGATTTGACCAGCTCTCCAGGATCCAAAAATATCGATATACTGTCTAAGACGGTCCACCCCATGGATGATGGCATGAAAGTATCTGAAAAGCTAACTATCTCAGCTTCCAGATGGTCGTCTGAAAGCACTGAAAAAAATAGCCTTCTACCGAGAGTATCAAAATCATCAGGGAATTTTGAGTCTTCTTCACGAACCGAAGCAAAGGAGACTGCTCCGAGTATTCAACATCGACCTGATACTTCTTCTGACAGGACAAACATACCTTCAATCCACTGTCCCTCTGCAAAGGACCAAATCGTTTCTACTCTGATGAAGAATGACTTGGTTAGAAGATCACCCTTCAACCTACAAGCAAGGAAAGGTGATCTAAGTGTGAAACCTGATACTTGTAAGAAGTTCCGTAAGCATAGATCCATTTTAAGGAGTGGCAAGATTAGAGCAAAATTTCAGTCAGCTACCAATGGAGTGCATAATAAAGGTGTGCTTGCACCTGCTGCTGATATTGCAAGAGCAAGTAAAACACTAGGATCTTGCGAATTAAATCACTCATGTGTCGTAGGATCTGGAACAGGAGAGATGACGAATGATGCATTGCCAGGCACGAAAGATGTCCCAGAATTTGATAAAAAAGATGAGGGAAGCACACTGGAAGAGCAGAAACACAGTAATCATCTTGAAACCAAATACCACGGTCCTGATGTTCAGAATTTAGACATGCAAGTAGAGGTCTTGGACTCTGGAAATCATGTCAGGAAACCTTCATCGGAAACGGCTGGTGGTAATCTTCTTTCTAATGATACTGTGTGTTCAGAAAGTCTGCAAGCAGCCTCTGATTGCCAGTCTATCTCGAAAAGTGAGGTCAACACAGGACAATTAATGCAAATATCTGAGAAGCAAGTGGTGTTCTTTGGTGATACTTCCAGAGAAGAAATTGATGGACAAAACATTCAAATGGTAGACAAAATGGAAGATAGAGGAGAAAAAGACTCTTATGCAGTTCAGCTTGTGGAATGTACTGTTGAAACCATGTCCATCCAGGAGTCCAGTGGTTGTTCAACCAGTCATGGGAATGCGGGGCATGAAATCCGCCAAAAGAGCTCCTCGATAACCTCAGTTAGAACAACTACAAATGAAGAGTTGGTTGGTGATGGTAAACCATGTGGATCACCTGATTCAACTGCTTCAACCATCTCACTCCCCTCTCCAAAAGATCTCAAATATACAGATTCAGATGCTAATGTATTTGCATCTGCTATCAATGCTGAAAATAAGTTGGGTTCGATAGATCCATTAGCTGAAGATACTGTAGTATCTGAAGAAAGAAATGTCAAGGAGAGGAATGAAGAACTTAAGGTGAATCTACCAGCAGAAATATCTGGTTGCATGGTAGATGATAAGACTTTCTGTTGCTCATGTAGGGAGAGCCTTTCAAGAGAGTTTCAAATTTTACAACCAAATGCTACTCACAGGACACCCAAGGTGAAGCAGGTTTCCAAGTTGTTCGCGAGGCCAAGAGTCTCTTCCTCTTTTAATTCATGTCAAAATCACAGAATTAATACCACAGTCATCTCCAATTTGCAAGCAGCTGGTCAGCCTACTACCAGCAAGGGTTTGTCAGATTGTGCAGTCAAGGTTCCAACTTGCAGTGTTCTAGGTTCTGCTATCCCATCATCTCAGTCACAGAACCGGTCAATATCCAATCCGATCCTTAGGCTGATGGGTAAAAATTTGATGGTGATGAACAATGAAGAGTTTGTGCAACCTCAAAGAACAGTTCTGGAATACCCACCAAATGTAAACTTCTTGTCACCTCTTGGATTTGCTTTAAACACCAATCACTCAAAGCAGGAGAATTTTCGATACCATCACAAGATCTTCAGCGGGCCTCCGGCCTTTGATGCAACTGCATCAGTGGGTGAGCACCAATTTCCCATATGCATGCCTAGCGCACCGATGGCTGGTTTTTCAGTGACTCCCTTGCATACTGCTTTTGTGCCAAGACTTGATCACCACACTTGGCAAAAGAATGCATGCAGAAGGTCCAACTCCTCTCCAGCTTCCTGCATAATGAATGAGGTTCTTGTGATCGATGACCCTATTGAATTTGAGAGACGACCAGTCACTTCTCTGAGCAGTCCAATAAGTACTTTGCCTTTTGCTACTTCAGGTTTGAATCCTTTGTCTCAGAGGCCATTTTCCTGCGTCTCTTCGCAATGCCAGATTAGATATCTTCGTGGTGGCTCAAGGCCCTTGTTACCAAAACCATCCACTGGAATTAATGCTAATTTGACGAAGAGTGGCAGCATTACAGAAGGCCATGGTCCTCTACCTCCCAGCCCCTTTTTGCTCCAAACTGCTACCGCTGCTCACATGCAGTCATCAGTATATTACTCACAGTTGCATCGGTCCTAAACTGTACAAAAGTGCTTGCGGAACCTCTGTCTCAAGTTCTACTTTGCAGCCATTGTTCCAGATCTTAGCTTACTTGACTGAGTACCCTCCGAGCACGGTTGTCTTGCAGCAGATTTCTTGCTATACGGTCTTTCTAGCAGCCATGAAGCATCCTTTGGAACAAAAAGAACAGAACCAACAGGAATGTGACTCTGAGTTTTGAAACACTTCATGTATCAAATTTGATGTTCTAAAGGCCTTGTTGGCTGCGACGGCAAACATTCTGCAAAGTTGCAGTTTTGAACTTGTCAAAGTACATGTAAAATTCTCAATAATCCATGCATCTGAATCCTTCCAAACTCTTGTGTGAAGCTTCTTAGTACTACTGATGCTTATAATGAATTTTGAATTGGGGTAGTAGTATTGGTGGGTTCCTGTGGTCAATTTTATTTCTGTTCCAAAATGACTATGAAGTGATCAATAATTGTTTATGGTTTAAAGACTCGAATAAAAATCGTACTTCAAAATTTTCTGTGCCCCATGATCTCTCTCCATCAACATGTTATGATGTGTATTCAGATCCATTTCAGCTGCCCAAAACGAAACAAAGCTACAGAGTGCACTGAAGAATGCAGGATGATCCTACCATTAAACCTGAGCTTTCACTGCTTTCATTCGTCTACTGCTGTGGGCGTGTGGATCTGACATCAGAATGGATTCATGAGTGAGTTGTAACGCTCAATACAACGAGCTCTTTCACGCTAGTTATCCCATTGCGTGTATATTAATGGATTCAAAGATGATCCATCGCCACATGAAATATAGCCGTTGCAATGGGAGAGGTGAGAGATGGAAGGAACAAAGCCTTCTTGCACGAACAGTCGCAACACATATGGGCAGTACGACGAACAGTAGAGAGAGAGAGAGTGTGAGTGTGCAATGATCTGATTCCTTCTGGTCGCATGGCGACAGCCATCGTTTCTTGATGCCGCTGTTCGACGTTGGACGACACCAAAAAAGCTGCCCATCCACTCGTTACCACGTGCCGACACCGAGGAGTGGGGCCCGGCAGTCAGTGATCAAAGCCTGGGGATTTGGAACGCGTCGATTGGCGACGCGGGTGGAACAGTGCGTGCGTCAGCCATGTCTCTTCTTCCCTGTGAGGGGCAGCGGCCCACCGTGCGGTGAACGGAGGGGAGGCGAGGGGCCATTAATGGCGTTTACCGAGTGCCATCCATGTGTATCGCTTCCCGTAGGTACGGGCAGCAGGGGAAGCCGTACGGTTGCCGTCCTTCGCATTTTCGAGTCCTCTCTCTCTCTCTCTCTCTCCGTCCGAGGAAAAGCGAAGAGATCGATGAATATAATTTGGACATTTTTCATGTGCCTTTTGCTGCTCACAACAATACTGCCTCGACATGCCTTGTGAAGAAGACAAAGGTAGGAGTAGCGGATATCTTAAACACACCGATCGGTTTCGAAATGGAATTTTAAGGAACAGTTTCCGGTAAAAGATGAGGCAGAGAACAAATCAATCACTGTTTCGCGGATTTGAGAGTGCTACTTTTCTTCGCCGGCCGTGCTTTTGGTGGTAATCTCTTTGTTCTTCTGATACAACGCAACATGCTTATGGTACTCCTCCAGTTCCTGCTCCAGCTTTTCGATGAATTCACTGGTGTGCTCCAGAGATTGCTCGAATCTATATTTCTCCAGAGCCTGTAAGACATTTCAACGAAAAATAAGTATTGCGAGGATTAACTAGTTAGTTTATCATTTCCGAAAAGTACGACAGCAAAAGAACCTATGAGATTCAAAATTCCATTTTGGCCAGATGAACATGGAAATTGATTGATTGGGTGCTTCTCCAGTTTGTAGCATGATGCGAATACATGGATTCTATTGCCGATACCAGGGTGAGAAACGGTAATATGCATGCATATTACCATATGGATAATGTACATGAATGTTATAATCCAAGACCATTACCTTCTGCTTAGAAAGTGTCCCAGGAGGTGACATTATATCAGGTTGCACATAGTTCTTCCCCCGGTAAAATATGATGGTGTTGTTGGCCTTTACGTCGATCGCGGTACCTTTGCTGAGCCGCTCCAGTTCTTGGGCATATTCATGGATCTGGCCAGGTCTGCAAGGCCTGCAGACTACTTTTACTGTTTCATGCTTCTTCCAGTGGAGATGCATGTTGAGAACCACACCGCCAAACACTCCTCGCCGCCCGACCGGAACATAATTCTTCTTCTTTTCACCGGTTCGTCTTAGGTAAAACCGCTCTTCTTCGGTGAGGATTTCGGGATCATGTACTTGCTCCGGAGCTTTCGGAATCTCATATTTCCTCAGCTTCTCAATCAACCATTCTTCTTTTCTTTTTGCCTGAACAATGAAAATGCTGGCCTAAGCAGAACAATCTACTTATAGAAGGCACGAAAAGCAACAAACTGAGTATATTTTATAAAAAATCAATTGACCATTAAAAATCAACATTCATTAAAGAAGATTATCAAATGGCATATCACTGTAAGTATTAACCCGTGGAACTACAGATAGAAATCTAGAGAACTATGAGCGACTATACTGAAGTTCTACAGCATGAAATGAGTGTTTGCAAGAAGAAATAGAAAGACTAGAATGCTTACGTATCAAACCTTTTCAAGCTTGTACCTAATTCTAACTTCAGGATTTGGCGACTTCATCTTCTTTTTTGCCTTCAATCGATACCATTTGAGCTCATTTAGTTTTGCTTTTCTTGACATCATCTTTCGCTTTTTCGTTGGCCTTGATTGAAATCCTGGTTTGGGATTTGGTATACCGACGGAAAATCTGGCCACATCATCATCTGTGTTAAGAGTCACTAGTGCATTGCTCCTAAATCTGATTGACTGCCACCTTTGTGGGTTAAAAGGATTATATATGATTGGTTTGTGATAAATCAAAGAAGATACCAGAACGCAAGATGAAAATGGCATATCCTTGTATCCTCTCGGACCAGAACATGTACACATTGAAAGACGTGAAATGCATGTACATCTATGCATATGTGATGTCCAATTCATCAAGTAATATCCATTCCTGGACCCCACCAAAGATGTCCTGCAAGAAACATATCATAATTTGCAAATGCCCTCCAAAAAATCACCATGTAAGAAGACTTAATAGAAGAGAAAACACGCTCAAAATCACTTGTGTCTTTGTATATTTAAAGCAACAAAAGGATTTGAGGAATTATACAATAGCAGCTCTATCAATAGATGCATCGAGCAAATTCCTCTCTGTATACCCACCAGACACATCCCAATAAGAGGTTTGCATAACAATGTCGAACAGCAGTAGCATCAACAAGTACACTAGCTGACTTGGTGGAATGCATTAATCGAGATTTTCACGATACGGTCTCATGGGATTTTCCAGGAAAAGGCTCCTAAAACATTCACCGCACAGTAATAGCATCTAACTTTTAGTATGTTAAACTTACATACAGGGCAGATAAGCTCCTAAAATTGACAAAATATAGACTTAAGAACCATTAAGAATCCTTGTCGAATGGTCTGAAAGAAGGATATCCTTATGATAAATGGAACTGGAGACTACGAAGCCGCCAACCTATGGATGCTTATTTAATCTAAAAAAAATTAAGAATGCAGTTCTGTTTATGATTTAAGTTTGATGAAAGCAAGGTACAATAATGCAACAGAGAAAATTTAAGCTCCATATTTAAAAAAGATAAACAAGATAAAAAAATTTGCAAAAGAAAATTCCTAGTCTTACAAGTATGGCAATAAAATTCCTAGTCTTACAAGGCCTTAAAATACTCGAAGCAAACCCCCCTGCCCTGAAAGCAAAACAACACATATGCACTCAGAAACACACAAGAATTATCTCGAGGCAACAAACGAGTAACTGAACTCAATCAAGCTCAAAGTGCACAAGAACAATAAGAACAAACTAAGAAGCTTGAACTCATCACGAGTACATCTACTCATCAAGCATCGTATAACTAATGCCGATCAAACAAGAGGTTATGCGCATCTAGTATGTTTATCCTTTTCTTCTTTAATAGCATAGGAAACACATGTTAGGACAAGAAGCAATTCCGACAAGGTTATGAAATTTGTATCATGTCATGAGGATTATGAACATCCACCTTTCAATCATTGATTCACAAAAAAGTAGCTATTGCCTTCTCAAGCATAGTCAAAAAATCATTCCAATAGGTATACTGTTCAGACACTTTATAACTCCTCAGATGTCAAACTTCGATGGGAAGAGCAGCCAAAAGATAACCATATTAAACAGAATTCACGAGAATCATAAAAGTAAATGCAAGAAAAATTACATCTTTCGTCAAAAAATCACTGAAGCATATAAGATATTGAAGGAATCAAACAGATGCAATAAACGGATTCGCCTATTATGAACTTGAAGAGAAAAAAAGGACAGAGAAAACGAAACATCTCTCGAAAAGTTCTACCAAACTGCTCCTTGCAGAAAAATAATCGAACAAGAAGGAAGACAAACACAGAATTTATCAAGGAAAACCGAAAAAGGAATCACCTTGTCGGATTAGAAAGAGGAATTCCTTGACGACCGCACCAAGAAATCAATCCACGGAACAATCCGACACTCTTACTTCTCAGAAACCAAGAAGCAGAAATCATGGGAAGACGTCGCGTCTTCTACTGATTGCCACCACCAGCGAGAGGACGGCGCTGTTCCCGGCGGCGAGGTAAGCGGCGGAGCCCGAGTTCAGGTAGGGTTTTTCCCTCGGTTATGTTGCGATTTGAAGCCTAGGCAAAAACAATTTATTCTACCCGATTCTTGTCCCACTTTATGGGTCCCACATTTCTTCAATCACGGAACAGGTAATTTCATGGGTATACTGAAACGGGTAAAGAAAGCATTGTTCTTCTGTGATCTATGGGCGAATTGGGTTGATTTATTGAAGGCAATATAAATATATAT